ATGTCATATTTGAGTTTTTAGCCAATATAATCACAGTTACATCAAATGTTCCCTCATTTAATGGTATTTTCTTCCTAATATAACTTCCCTAAATGAGATTAAATCCCCTGTCTTCCTCTACCTTCCCTATATCATTACTGGATCAATGATAATAACCGTAACAACTATCAACAACAATTGTAATAACTAATTCACATTAAATTGTGTATTTTTTCTGATTATGCTACAATTGTAGCCTATTCCATCACTTTTAGTTTAAAATATAAGTTTATGTAACAAATCCATAACCCACCACAGGCTGGCGCTATTCCCCAGCACAACAGCCAATGCATATTTGCATCCTAACCAAAATAAATTATCGTTCTAAAATCGTCCAATTATTCTGTACTTTTCCGCTAACCCATTTCAGTTCGCTATTCAATTTATTTAACTGTCCTCTCTGATTATGCCCTAATTAATAAAACAAATACTTGCTATCGTTGGTCAGCATACGCTTAATGACATTCTTATCATCTGAACTATACTGTCTCTTACCCTCCCCTTTTTCCTTCGGGGAGTGCCTCGCATGGTAACCTTATTACATATTTTCATAGACTTTTCTAGAATACTTCTATCTAATTCAACCTTTCAGGTATATAGCCTCATTGCGAAAGCTTTGTCTACTGTCCCTACCTGTGTTCGAACCAGGGACAACGCCAGTCACTTCACACTATCTGCGATGCTCTCAAAGTAACTACTTCCAGTTCATAGAGCAAGTGACGTCACCAAATGAAAATCACAGTAGCTTTCACCTCAGCAAAAAAAACTCTCTCTCTCTTTGATTCCCTATTGTATAATTAAGTTTTTCTATTTACCCCCTAAACACGCTCGCTACAAATAGTCCATTCAACATTACCAAACCAAATACTCATCGTACCCATTCAATCAACACATCAGCCGTGGAATTTACACTCATAAATGCAGATTGTTACTCCATGCCTTGAAATGATAAATAGATTTCCACCAATAGCATATTACAATGATTTCTTATTTTACCCTCTGACACAAAATGAAGTTCCCTCACTGTACTACGTTAGCTCTACCATGATAATTAGTTCAATTTAACCCTCTATTTGTTTTGTACTATATTATACATTACGTCTAAAACAACATTACTTATGGTCAGTTTATTCCGCCATCATATTATCCAACAACGCCACAATCTTAAACTCATATGGGGCGGCCGACAGTTTAGTGACCAATAGCGCCGCGCCAACAACCGAGAGGTCGCCGGTTCCAATCCCCGAGCCGACCAGGCGAAAAATCTGCCGATGTGCCCTCGAGCAAGGCACTCAACCCCAATCGCTCCTGTAAGTCGCTCTGGATAAGAGCGTCTGCTAAATGACTCAAATGTAATGTAAAAGAACAACACCTCATAAGGAGTGCCCAGTAGGAGTCCAATTCCTATCAGAAAACATACATACAAACATTCAGACACTCCCAATCTCTCCCAGGGGGAAAAAGTTCTTCTTTACCCTGAGTGAGATTGTTGTTCCCATAAGGGTTTCTTCATTGTGTTGTCAGGATTGGTTCTCGCTGCTCAAATCAGCCCTGACTTCTGTCAGTGATCTAGAAGGAGTGGGGGCTGGTGTGCAATGAGTTAGATGGTGTCAGTGTGCGCCTAATTTACCTCTGACCTGGACTGAGTGTGAAGTAACCTCCTTCACTTTACTCTCCCTGTCATTCGTTGTTCTATGTATTCATTGAATTTGGGTATGTTTATGTTTGGTCCTGCCATCTTGCTTTCTCTATCTTGGATGTATTATCGGTAGCAAATACAGACTTATCTCATGTATGACACCCTCGCATATAAAGAGGCTAATTTATATAATTTGTAATGCAATTATTATCATAAGAATCAGAATTCCAGTCACATATACCAATGCAGTAATCTCTACACACAGCACACACCACGCTTTAGTTATCTCACGCTTGTTCTAGAACCATGCACAACTTCAATATCAGTCTCCCCAGTCCCCGGTTCCTGAAACCCTAGGTCAAATTCACTCAATTCCACAGATTGGTGTTCGGTCTCATAAGTCTCACTATAACTTCCCATCATCCATTACACGTTATAATACATAAAAACACAGACACGTTAAAATATGAACACAGCAAAACAAAACTGCCAATTAGAATACAATACCTTAAAAAATTTAGGTTACCAGAGCGTCCTAAAACATAGTCTCAGTTCAACTGCCACCCTTCACACAACCTTATGCTTATGTGAAGTCACAGAAGCAACTGGATCCCTATCAAAGGATTTTCTTTAGACAACTCTATTACTAGGAAAGACTTAATCTCAGCTTAATTGTACCTTTCACACAACCATTTATATGGAACGTTTTAAGTGTGAAATCACAGAGATAACTGGCATCCCCGGGAATTTAATACCTCTGGTCAATTTTCGGTGATTCTCCCCCACCTAATTAGTTAAAGTTGGTGCATGTTTATATTTAAACGATAAACCGAATTATTTCGCTCTAATTGTTTAACCAGTATTTTGCACGGTCAAACATCAAACGTTAGATCAAATAATAAACCAAGTAGCCCAAACCAAGCACCTAAAACCAGTATTATTCTATGTCAAACATCAAACCTCAAATCAAATACTAAACCGAATTGTTTCGACACAACTATTCAAAAGCAGTATTATGCTTTTTCAAACACCAAACGTTATATTTCAAATTTATCAGTTCAAACGTTTTAATTCAGTCACACAATTAATCACTTTAGCTTTATGTTCCCAATTGTTTTTAACGGGTTATATGGTTTAAGCAACCACAAATCCAACAGTTATTCCCAAATTATACCGTTTGGACAGCCACAGACGTCTTATGATTCCCAATTTGTTTTCTATCAAGATATACAGGTTTATCATTCACACTTTCATGCATACGACAACACTCGCACTGTTTAACTTTCTATAGTACCTCCTATGGGTGTCTTTTGTTAACGTTTGCACAATTTAAACCTTATTTCCTATTTGTTATTCTCATTATTTACTGTTTTAAAATATTATTTGTATTCACAGCCAAAAATGGTACACAGTTAAGCGTAGTATACAGTTATCACCCAGCAAAAATAGTACACAGTTATCGCCCTCACTCACAATACACAGTCATAATCCTATCATACAGTCAAATATGTCACACAGTCATCAATTACACCCATGTTCCACACACAATCTATTTGGGCACACAGCCTCTTCTGTTTTATTCAAGACACTGTGCTGAACCTAGCCGCAACCCTTAGTTACGGACCTTGCCAGTCACCAGTATTACAGTCGCGTCTATTTTATTCAAAACACTGTGCTGAACCTAGCCGCAACCCTTAGTTACGGACCTTGCCAGTCACCAGTATTATCTAAAATTTCCCGAACCTAGCCGTACCCTCGCAGTTACGGAACTTGCCGGTGTAATTCTTCGAACCTAGTCGTACCCTTAGTTACGAACCTTGCCGATAGCAATTACCTAATCCAATTAATCCCTGTATCTTCGAACCTAGCCGTACCCTCCGCAGTTACGGACCTTGCCGATAGATGTCAGTATTTTCTCCGAACCTAGCCGTACCCTTGTAGTTACGGACCTTGCCGATAGAACAAATACTCTCTGGTACCATGGTTTTTTAAACATCACATTTAGCAAAGGTTTGCATGTCACAATATTGTGCTTGTCTACTCATAATAGTTTCATAATTTAGTTCACTTACATCAGACAGTTGTTTCACAAAATTAATTTGAATAAAGCCAATTTGCAGATTTTCAGTTATTTAACAATAGGCATCTGCTTACCTTTAATTTTGTCCGGACTTTTTGTGAACCACAGTCCAATGAAAGAGATGACCAATGGGCCGGAAAGTATCCAGCGAAGTCCCTTCTACCAGATCACGTCGGGGTATCACCAATTGTCAATGTCGCGTCAATTCAAATCTGGCATTAGGAACAAAAGAGGTCAACACGACTTCTAAGGTATACTAATTATTTTAATTAATGCAAAAACCTTCAATGGTAAATATGATGTTTCGTATATACGGGTTCTCTGATATGCCTCGCAGGACATTACAGACAACTAACTCCTTGTTCCAGAAAACAATACCCAAATACACTGACAGAGAAAGTTTCCCACTTCTCTGCTGGCCAATTAGAGTAAAGACTTGAGCAGTTTAAACTATCTCAGCCAATCCGTTGATGCAGGGGGTTGGTCTCATCTCTTTGGCGCCCTTTGTTACACACTCCAGCCAGACACAAGATTATCATAACAACCTGTCATAGTGAGAAGAGCCAGCTCCCTTAGACATCATTCCCATGTCAAAGGAAGACTCATAGATCACAATGAACCATTATAGTCTTGTATTTGAAGACACAATCCTTATCTTCTCTTCACATCAATCACAGCCTTGCCAGGTGTCACAGCCTACATTAGCCCAGTCAAGAATGCATTCTTTCTAAGTTAGTCATCCTATCAGTTTAGAAGAATAATAAATCCCTAATACTAGCTTATTTTGCAAAGTTTACCGACAAATCTGCTGTTTCCATCAGGCCTGTCATTACATTTGTTATCCAACATGTACTTCACTTCCATAAAAAAGTTGGATGGAAACCTGGTTACTGTCTAGTTTCTTTCCATAGTCTAATCAGGAAGACTATGATTGATACATGAATCAGGTGTGTTAGTGCTGGGTGAGAACCAAAGCCTTTACATTTAAAGCTCTCCAGGACCAGAGTTGGTGACACAGGAGGTTGGTGGCACCTTAATTGGGGAGGATGGGCTCGTGGTAATGCCTGGAGTGGAATCAGTGGAATGGTCTTAAATACATCAAACACATGGTTTCCATGTGTTTGATGCCATTCCATTCACTCCATTCCAGCCATTATTATGAGCTGTCCTCCCCTCAGCAGCCTCCACTGGTTGGTGACCACTTTACTATACCAATGATGTTGAGGGAGGGAGAGACCAGTTATGCCTGTTTGTCCCTCTCACTCCCCTGTGACCCTGTCTTTTCTCTTAGAGGCTCTGAGTTCTTTGCTGTCTGACTTTGAGGTGCTGCCCGTGTCCGGCCTCCAGCAGCACTCGGTCAGGAAGAGGGACGTCCACACCCTGTCCCACCTGGAGCGCCTGGTCAGCTTCAGCGCCCTCAAGAGGTAGGTGGAACAAGGTCTCCCATATGAGACTTCCACATCGAAAGCTCTGGATAAGAGCTCCTGCTAAATGACTAAAATGTAAGGGCAAAACAGCAAAGACATACTACTCAATGGGGTGCTCTCACCTACTCACGTAACATTCAGGAGCAAGCAAACAAGTTGGGATGTAAATGGTTCTGTATCACTAGTGCTACCCAATGCCTAGGAAAGATTGCATGACATTTGGGGTGGGAGTCCTCCCTGCTAGGTCATATGTGTTTTGAATTGTTACTGGAATGGCTTTTCCCATTCCTAGGCCTAGTGACTAAGTGCATTTATCTTCATGTGATTTTCAGTGCTTTTGTGCAATTAAAACAGACAGACCATTGACAAAGTAAAAATGTGTTTGTATCTTCAATAAACCAAAATATGTGCATTCCCCAATAAACCAAAATATGTGCATTCCCCAATAAACCAAAATATGTGCATTCCCCAATAAACCAAAATATGTACATTCCCCAATAAACCAAAGTATGTACATTCCCCAATAAACCAAAATATGTACATTCCCCATGTTTTTTACCATCAAACTCTGACATTTTTCTTCCGCAGACATTTCAAGCTTTACTTGACAACTAACACAGACTTGTTTACTGAGGACTTCAAAGCTGTGTTTGTAGATAAGCAAGGGAAGGAGGACAGCTATGATGTTCAGCTTCAGAACTACTTTACCGGACATCTTGTAGGTAAGTCATTAGGGTATTTGGTTGGTTTTATATGGAATAACCATATGGGTGGGTGTGTGTGCTTGCGTGTCTGCGTTAGTGTGTGTGAGTAGAATCCCTTAAAAGCTCTGTCTTTTGTGTGTGTGTGTGTAGGAGAGGAGCACTCCCGTGTGCAGGCACACATAGACGGGGACGAGTTCTCTGCCCACATCCTGACCGATGAGACAGAGTACAATGTAGAGGTAAATGCCCTCCCAAAATAGGAGCACTGCTTTAAAGTTAAAGTAGGCCAGACATGTCTTAAAACAGTTGCTGGGTAAAGTGATGCCAAAACTGTGTGTGAGAGTAAAAACTATCAGTTATATAAACCAGCGTTTGCTTTAGTGATGGTAGAAGACCATCTAACCAATCCTTCTTCCACCCACTTCTTCCTCTCCTTCTCCTCCTTCTCCTCCCACTCCATCTTCTTCCTCTCTCCTCCCTCTGTCATTCCCCTCTCCCTCTCTATCTCTCTCACCCCCCCGCCCTCTCTCTTCCCTCTCATTCCTCTTCCTCCTTCTCTCCATCCCCTTCCTTTCTTGCCTTTATTTACCCCATTCCCCTCCCACCTCCTCCCTCTCCTCAGCCCCTGTGGAGGTTCACCGAGGCGCCCCCCGATGGCCGTCTGTTGGTGTACCGCTCAGAGGACATCAGGAACCTCAGTCGCCTGGCCTCGCCCAAGGTGTGTGGATACGTCCACGCTGGGGCCCAGGACTTTCTACCAGAGGCCGCTAGAGGTGGAGAGGCACAGGAGGGTGAGAGAGAGAGAGAGAGAGAGAGAGAGAGAGAGAGAGAGTGTGTGTTTGACAGTATATGCTCCATTTGTGTATGTTCCATGCGTATAGACCGGGTGCTTTACACAAGCAGTCAGAAACGTGTAAGAGGCTACCTTATACAACATTATAGTGTGAGGAGGTAGGGAGGAGGTGGTAGGAGAGTAGGACAAGGAGGTGGTAGGTAAGTGGGCAGCCATTTTATCTTGTCCCAACACAGCCTCACAATGAATAAAAGCCTTTCATGTGTAAAATGTGTGTTCCATACATGGACTGGCAACAGGGTATTATATAAAGCTCTGATTCCTTTGTGCTGCCAGTAAAATGTAAAGCTCATTAGAATGACAATGACCTGGGGAAAATCTTAAGGACCTCAAGACAATGTCCTCTATTCAAAACACTGTGTGGAAAATGAATGGAGGTGAATGATCTCCACAGAAGAAGCATTCAAATTCATTAGAGCTCTTGTACGTAATGTGGGTGGGCTGGACTACAGTGTGAGTCGCTGGTCTCCTGGTGCTGTGGATAAAGGGAGGAAAAAGACATAGTGATTACACCCACTCGCTGTGGTTCGCTACAGTAGCTGAAAGGTTGCTTGTTCGAATCCCCAAGCTGACAAGGTGAAAAAGTCTGTTGTGCCCTTGAGCAAGGCTCTTAACCCTAATTGCTCCAGGGTCGCCGTTGATAATGGCTGACCCTGGCCGTGACCCCACTCTCCGAGGGTGTCTCAAGGGAAGTTGGGATATGAAAAAAACACATTTCAAATTCTGAAATATAACCACCAAATTATTACTTTTTATTAATCTTGTAAAGGGAAGGAGAGCACATTACTTGGTGTGTGTGTGGGGAGGGGGCTGACTGTGTGGCACAAAATGGATGTAGTCATAAGGGAAAGAGAATTAACATTGTTAGTCTGAATTGATGCATACTCTATTATTTTACAGAGGTTTATTAAAATTCTATTCCAAAAGAAGTGCTTTGCTATTTTGATTAGGGATTAATGTCATGCTGAATCATACAAGCCACAGCCAGTCTCCAACATAGAATAAGTGGTGTTGATTCATTTTACTTCACACAAAGTTGGAAATGTGGTGGTACTGGAAAGTATTCTTTCTATATTAAAGGCTTTGTCTGCTAGACCTATATTCTTCATTTACACTTTAGTCATAAGAACACATGGTATACTGCTTCTAATCAGTTCATACGCAAACAAATGTGAGAACAAGGGCATCTAACAGTTGGAAACTGAATTAGTGGCCTCATTCAATCATTCTCCCTTCCTGTGACATCCTACAGTAGTGTTTCTGTTTTTTACTCTCTTTCTCTCTCTTTATTTATTCATTTATTTATTTATTTCTCACTCTCTCTGTCTCTCTCTCATATCTCTCCATAGATTCCTTCCACAGAGAGAAGAGAGCGGCCCACAACCACAAGAAGAACACATGTCCTCTAGCCCTGGTGGCTGACTACCGCTTCTTCAAACACATGGGCCGTGGAGAGGAGAGCATCACACTCAACTACCTGGTGAGAGGACCATTAACCTATTGGCATTTATGATTGCAAAATTCCTGTAACTTTCCCAAAATTCCCTGGTTTTCCAGAAATCCTGGTTGGAAGATTCCTGTAATTACAAGGGAATAAGCAGGGATTTCTGGGAAAATTACCAGAATTTTGCTACCCTATTGGCACTATATGGTTAGGTACAGTGCATTCAGAAAGTATTCACACCTAGGGCTGTTACGGTGACTTAGAGGCTAGGCCTACTATATTTATTTCTCAACTTTCCTAATATTAAGCACATAGCTTCTCTTTACAACATGAGTATAGCCTACCTGGCTGGCATGAAAATGAACCACGGGAAAAGCGTCCTCCATTCACTGTCCGCAAAAGGCCACACAAAGGGGATGCCGCCGGGAAATTAGAGGCAAAATTTCAGGACCGCCACAGCCCTATTTACACCCCTTGACTATTCACGCCCCTTGACCTTTTTAACATTTTGTTGTGGTACAGCCTGAATTTTTAATTGATTAAACTGAGATTTTGTTTGGTAAACCAGGGTATTTTGCCAAGGTTACCAGAATTTTGCAACTCTAGTACTAAGACAGTCTGTTGTGTTTCCTCCAGATTGAGTTGATTGACAGAGTGGACGACATGTACAGGAACACAACCTGGGATGATGAGTTCACAGGATACGGTGTTCAGATCCAACAGGTGAGGACAACTGCTACATTGCCGTGTGTGTTGGTAGTAGTTGTAGTGTAGTAATAGTAGTAGTACGCAATACCATTTTTGGCATTTTTCCATCACTACATATCACTACTGACAACATTATATCAGTGTGTAATGTGTCAGTGCTGGGTAGAGAAGTGAGGTCGTATGACTGTAGTACTGTAATTGAATTTGAAAATAATTTGTGAAAAGCGCTTTGTGTGGAAAAGCGGGTGGGGAAATCCAATTGGTTCCCCTCGCTCGGGGAATGAATTGCGACACTGTGCGTCTACTACAAATCCACCACTCTCTCACTGAAAAGATATGCTGCGGCGGTCCATGCTCCATCTCTTCTCCTGACCTTCAACCGGATATCTTGTACAGAGCATTATGGGTACTGTGGTACATGCTGCAACCTCTAATGGGGTTTAAGAAGTTGTAATGTGCTGGTTTGTAGATCATCATCAACAAGGAGCCGACCAGAGCGCCACTTGGCCAGGCTGGCCCGGGCTGGACCCACTACAACATGATGGGAAGCCCCAGCCAAGGCAAGGAGGTGTGGGACGTCAAGAAACTGCTGGAGGTGAGACACTACTACTGATCTGAAAGGAGAGCGGAATCTATACAGTGTGCTAGTATGTAGGAAGGTAATTCCCCTAGCCTGGTCCCAGATCAGCAACTAACTGACTGGCAACTGGCAAGAAGGCACAAAATGATCTGGGACCAGGCTAGAGTAGTACCCACACAAACATACACAATATGATTAGGTCACTGTATTGTCTACGCCCCTCCAACTCAACTCTGGACCTCAAAGCCAGTTCCACTGCATTCTTTCATTGTTCCCCTCTAATCAGGGACTGATTTAGACCTGGGACACCAGGTGGGTGCAATGAATTATCAGCAGGCTCCGGACCTCGTATGTTAAGAGTTGAATACCCCTGGTCTATACGTTGTAAAACTAGAAGCATTTTTTTGAAAGGGGACTAAACATGATTGACAACAAAAAATGTCCTCATCAATAGGGGATATGCTAGCTAAGCTAACTAGTATTGTTTTTTACTTTCCAATCCCTTTCTTTGTCTCCAGCAATTCAGCTCGGATATAGCGGACAATGCTAGCACTGTGTGCCTGGCCCACCTGTTCACCTACCAGGACTTTGACGAGGGGACACTGGGCCTGGCCTACGTGGCCCCCTCTAAAGCCCAGGCTCTGGGGGGCCTCTGCCCCAAACGTAAGGCTCAGCCTCTCACAGACATCCTCTCATTTGAGATCAAATTACTATGATTATTATGATGAGTGTTTTGATAATGGTGTGATAAATTCATAAGAGCTTGCTCCTATATTTCTAGTCTGATTTCTCTTCCTCTTTGTATTCTGCAGCGTACTATCCATCTCAGTCCGTCAAGAAGCCCAGTTACCTCAACACTGGTTTAACCAGCACCAAGAATTATGGCAAAACCATTCTAACCAAGGTAGGTTCCTCATTGAGTTCAATTTAGTCATACTATTGCTATGGTATCTGAACCCTCTATCGAACACACTAGAACAAGGACTGAAAAACTGGGTCATAGGTCAGATGATTTAGCACTGCCTTGTGGCCTTTCAATATGATGATTTGAGCTGTTGTCTGATGAATCGAATAGTCTGTGGGGCACTTTGTGTTGGGTCATGGGTTGAACAGGCAGCATTATATGTCTAATGAATAATGACTTGAGACCTTACAAGACCCTCTAGGTCAATGCTCCTCCGATATCCTACTGAGAAATCTTGCTTTTATAGCCCAAAGATAATAGATCATGTAAAAATGTCTGTATTATTGAATTGTTGCAAGTCAATGTATAGTTTCCAAACATTAACGTGTGTGTGTGTGTTTTTTCTCCCACCACCAGGAAGCAGATTTGGTGACAACCCATGAATTGGGCCATAACTTTGGGGCAGAGCACGACCCTGACAACATCCCCTACTGCGCCCCTAGCGATGACCATGGGGGCAAGTTTGTCATGTACCCCATCGCTGTGAGCGGGGACCACTACAACAACAAGGTACAGCTCTTGCGTACTTCAAATGAGGTGATCTTCTGTCATCAGTTGCCTTCTTCCTTTTCTCTCCTAGCTTTACGTTTGTCTTCCCTCCACAGCGATTCTCCAACTGCAGTAAGATATCCATAGGGAAGACGCTGCGCTTCAAGGCCCCTATCTGCTTCAAGGAGAGGAACAGCAAGGTGTGTGGGAACTCCCGCGTGGAGGAGGGGGAGGAGTGCGACCCGGGCATGCTGCACCGCAACAACGACCCGTGCTGCTCCGCCGACTGCAAGTTCAGGCCAGAGTCCCAGTGCAGGTAGAAACCCGCCACACATGACCCAAAATGGCCGCCTCTGAGTGCAGTAATTCACGAGGTAGGAGGACATTTACAAGGGCTTCGCTAATTTCATGCCTTTATTTACGTACTGGCAGACATTATTATCCCGTTGGGGATTTTCTTTTGCGAGAGCAGGCACATGTAAGAAGGTGATTACAAACAATTACATACTATCATTTGCATAGTATGCAGTAAACTGGTAGAATCAACTGGCACTTTCTTAGTCAACTGACATTGACTCCACACATTGCATTTGTTTGATTCAAGCAGTATCCAGTAGCCTACCTCTCTAGTATCTTGAGCAACTCTCGAGCAGCCTGACCAAGTGAAGTGCATATACACTGCTAAGCTGTTTACTAACATTCACAACATGTGAACTGAGGTTGTCTACTATTTGTCTGTGTCCCGGTACATCCAGTGACAGGAATAGTCCGTGCTGTAAGAAATGCAAGTTTGAGCAGGCAGGGAAGACGTGCCAGGAGCCCATCAACGCCACCTGCAAGGGCATGTCCCGCTGCACAGGTAAGCACCCCCTACTGGACATACACAGGACTGTCACGGCTAGACGGACAGATGGGATTTATTTTTTCGATTTGTCATTGCTGCTATGTAATGCAAGGCTCCCTTGTAAAAGAGACTTTGTTATTAATGGGACTCTCCCCTGCTTAAATACAGGTTAAATAAACTCCTGCTTGTCTGACATTTTCCTCTATTCAACATAGCAATGTGTCATGATCTGCTATGTAAGTGATCTATTGGACCAAAATCCTCTAGCTGGATAGGTCCCCAGGTCTTGCTGTTGAGACATCTGTTGGTGTTTTTGACTGACTGTGTTGTACTGTCCATCCCCTAGGGAACAGCAGTGAGTGCCCAGCCCCAGACAACGCTCCGGACAATACCATCTGTGTGGACAGTGGGAGGTGCAGCGACGGGGAGTGCATGACCTTCTGTGAGGCCGTGCAGAACCTGCAGCCCTGTGCTTGTAATGGTACGGCCCTCTAGCAGACACACTGCTACAATCTAGATTGACACAACTGACCAGTTCCACGGTGTACCCATCAAAATACAACTGTAGACAGACTGATGTCTACGTTCTATCTCTAATCTATAGATTATATTTCTATGGTACCCAATATCTTGCATTAGAAATTATTTGTTCTTTATTTGATTTGATGCCCCGTAAGTTGACATGGTGTGAAACCCAAAGCCTTTAATTTGATTCCTGCCAATATACTGTAACTAATTGATATTCTGAGAAAGATACAGATAGCAGTATAGCACGTGGTCCAGGTTGTCTTCAAACCCAACCTGACCTCTCTCGACTCTTCCAGAGACATACGACTCGTGTAAGGTGTGCTGTCGGGACAAAAATGGTGCCTGCACTCCCTTTGTCAAAAGCGACGGGAACTTCCTGTACCTGCGCAAGGGGAAACCCTGTACCGTGGGCTTCTGTGATGAGGGCGTGAGTGACTGACTTCTTCCTTTTTAGCACTGCCATTTTACCTCTACTCACACTTAATGGACACAGGCTGTATTCATAGTTTCAACACATTTCACTTCAAAAAATAAATTTCAATCGAAATAATACAATTTCATTTTGACACGAATAAAATATTTTTAAAATATTTTATTGGTCCTACAGGGGGAGTTACCGCTTTCAATTACAATTTTCTGACAATGATGATACAGTATATTGATTTGTATGTGTTTGTTTCAGGGTAAATGCATGAAGCAAGTCCAGGATGTGATCGAGAGGTTGTGGGATTTCATCGACAAGCTGGACATCAACACATTCGGTGAGTGGGGATGCAGTGAGGGGGTAGAGTTGATTGACTTGAAAGGCTGGTTGGAGTTGAAGTATTTTTCTCTCTCTCTCATAGGGAAGTTCCTAGCAGACAATATAGTGGGCTCAGTGGTGGTGTTCTCTCTAGTCTTCTGGATCCCTCTCAGCATCCTGGTGCACTGTGTGGTGAGACCTGAACCCAAAACACACTCACACCAATACCAGACTTACCTCAACCCTTCCTTCAGGCCAAAGATTCCTGCATCAATTGTTTAGTGATGACTAAAATAGCAGATACACTTATCATGTTAAATATATCAATCAGGGGGCCTCCCGAGTGGTGCAGCGGTCTAAGGCACTGCATCGCAGTGCTTGAGGTGTCACTACAGACCCGGGCTCGATCCCAGGCTGTATCACAGCCGGCTGTGACCGGGAGACCCATGAGGCGGTGCACAATTGGCCCGGTGTCGTCTGGGTTAGGGGAGGGTTTGGCTGGCTGGGATTTCCTTGTCCCATCGCGCTTTAGCGACTCCTTGTGGCGGGCCGGGCGCCTGCAAGCTGACTTCGGTCGCCAGCTGGATGGTGTTTCCTCCGACACATTGGTGCGGCTGGCATCTGGGTTAAGCGAGCAGTGTGTCAAGAAGCAGTGCGGCTTGGCAGTGTCGTGTTTCGGAGGACGCATGGCTCTCGACCTTCGCCTCGCCTGAGTCCGTAGGGGAGTTGCAGCGATGGGACAAGACTGTAACTACCAATTGGATATCACGAAATTGGGGCAAAAAAGGGCTAAAAGTACAACAAAATTATTATTTATATATATATATATATAAATCAGACCCTTGCTGTCTATACATCTTGTTGTCCAGTAGAGATCTGCTATAAGATATTTGGCTTTCAAAGCCCATCTCTTGCATTGTTGATAAAGACACAATAATGTTAGCTGTTTATACACTAATGGGATGCTTACTGTTTTTGTTTCTGTAGGATAAAAATCTGGACAAGGAGTATGAGGAGAACACCAAGACCATGTACTTCCCCAGCGTAAGTCCTTGAAGCTTCCTATGCCCTCCCATGTTCACTACTGACCACGTGCTAGGTTTGAACTTTGAAGTCGCACTCACTATAACACGCTATCCCTTTTAGAAACGTCATACTACTAGAGAGCATGTTGTCTTATTTGCTCACCTGCAGTTATTTGCCCAATTCCAAAATCGACCCCGACCCTAGCCCATATCCCCTAGATCTGAAAGGACTGCATAAGTGTAAGCAGTAAAGGGTGAAGATTCCACCAAGCCTATCAGAGGGCAAGTTGGCGTGAGAATCATACGCTATTACCCATCCAAATCCATTCCTAAACCCTTGCTCCTATGTACTTCTTGTAAATCTGAAAAGATTGGAACTGGCCCGTAGTTAGCCCATATGCAGCATGAATGAGTTCTATGCAGTAGCACATATGATGGCCTCACAGGGCTCACTTGAAAAAGAGATGTTAATCTCAATGTGACTTCCCTGGTGAAATCAAATGTAAATAATAGTAAACTGAGGGATATTTGGGTTACAATGACCTGTTCCGTTACTGTTCCGTTTGCCTTGGCCCCTCGTGGAACTGCAGCAGATGGTTGAGGTACCTGTATTTAGTAGAGCTCCACCCTCAGGTGAGTGGGTGAGGCGTTGGGGGGGGGGGGGGGGGGGGGCAGGGTGCACGCTGTCGGTGTGTGACACAAGGATGCGCGACGTGTGTGAGGAGAGGAGTGCACCATGTTGTCTTTGTGGGGCCGTTTGTCGACCTTGTTGGAGCCAGAGTGTCCAAGCTGTTGTGTTTGTTGTGCTGCAGTGGACTGTTCAGTTTTAATGGTGCGGACAGACTGGGTCTGTTCCATTTCATCTCCGCCAGTTTACTTGGAAATAATGAACAGTTGCTCTTTATTTTCCAAGGTGAATTTGTGTCCCAAGTCATGACGAATTGAGTTAAAAAGGATCGCACCCCAGTTACAGGCAGAGTTAGTCAAACACAACCCTGATTCTGCTATTCCCCCCCCCCAGAATGCAGAGATGCTGAACAGCCTCGAGTCGGCCTCCGTCCGCATCGTCAAGCCACCTCCGCCTCCCACTTTCTTCTCCGCCGCTCGGATCCTACCCCACTCCCTCCCTCCTCTACCCCCAATGGGCCCGTCTGCCTCAGGCAGCAGCAGTACCCCAGCCCCAGGCTCGGCTTCGGGCCCTGGCCCGTCCTCGGGGAGCGGAGTGGTGGTGGTGGGGGGGGAGGGCCCACGGATGGCCACCATCCAGGAGGATCCCAGCTGCGACTCTCACCACGACCTGGACAAGGACGACTTCCCTCCTCGCGGAGGCTCCAACGCCACCAAGTCCTCATACGAGGACCTGACAGCGGAGCAGAGCACGCCGCGCTCGGGCCGCCACGACAAGCGCCGCCTCAAGAGGCAGGCCTGCGTGGTGGACAGTAAAGAGACCCAGTGCTGAGGAACATGTTTGTATATATACGCACACAGTTGCGCGCACGTACAGACACACTCACACACAATTGTACATGAGGGAACATTCGCACACACACAGTCTAGAATAGATACAGTATGTAGGTACATGCATACAGACACTCATGCATATCCATGCACAGAATATATGCATAGAATAGATTATACTATATAGTAGATGCAGGTAACTGCCAAAATAAAGGAAACGCTTGAGTAAATGAGGGATACAAAGTATATTGAAGCAGGTGCTTCCACACAGGTGTGGTCCTGTGTTAATTAAATAAAAATGGCTACCATGGCTAGAAGAAAAGATCTCAGTGACTTTTAAAGAGGGGTCTCAAAGGAGCATAGGGGGTTTAAAGGGTGTGTCTGTCACCAGATCTCAACCCAATTGAACTCTTATGGGAAATTCTGGAGTGGCGCCTGAGAGCGTTTTTCACCACCATCAACAAAACCCCAAATTATAGAATTTCTCGTGGAAGAATGGTGTTGCATCCATACAACAGCATTCCAGACACTTGTAGAATCTATGCTAAGGCAAATTGAAGCTGACCTGGCAGCTCGTGGTGGCCCAACACCCTATTAAGACTTTGTTAGAGTTTCTTTTAGTTTGGCAGATACCTGTACATGCATACATGACTAAACATTGCACACACTGTTATAGTACACACAGACACCCACTCATAGAAGAGACTAATACTGGTTACACAGCACTGGCTGTGGTGTATAGAACACCGTATCTAGCAGGACTCTTATTAAGAGGCCACCACGTGGGGTTAGCTACATCTAGATTTTATAAGGTCAATTTGGAAGACTCACCCTACAACCAAAATAGGTGCTTATTATGAGTATAGTAGTGTTCTGACGCCAGTGACTGCAGTTTAGAATAGCCTAGATACTGAATTATGTTGTGTGTGGGTAAGAAATTATTTGTGCCTTGTTAGTTTCAAGAGTCAAAGCCAAGTGCTTTCTTTGGCAACACCCACTCAGATACAGGCAAGACAGTGTAGTTTTGGACATGTTCTTTCAAATGGGTTGGTATACCACTGCCATGACTGTATCAACTATTGGTTAGGCGTTAGTGTGTCATCTTTGAATCATGCTATGAAGAAAAGAAAAGTTATTTTAAATGTCTGTTTAGTCATGTCACTTTCTGTTGTCATGTCAGTAAGAAATGTATTTTGCCTTTATTTCTGATATTTCCTGGTTTTTCACCTCGTCAAAAAACATGCATGTATTATTTACTTAAGTAATTCAGCTGTTAAATGGATGCCAAAGGGTAGTGTTAAAACGTAGGGGACTGGTTGAACTGTTGCAGAGGAAGATATTTTTCTCTGGTAATCTAAACCCAACAGGAAAAGAGTGCTGCATCAAACTTACCTAACATGAATTTAAAACGTATGTCTCCACTCTATTCAAGTATTGGTTCCGTTTCATTTGTAGTGAAATAATTATGATACATTTTTATATTGTTGTATGGCCTGATGTTGATTACACTGTTGTGACCTATGAACTTTGTTCTTCATCCCAAAGGTTGCAAGTAAGTGATTTATTTCACCATTCATTCAACACATTGGAAGATGAGGGACTATTCATTCATTCAGACATTGTTTGTAAACCAACCTCTGATTTATTTTAATCCACACAAAAAAGACTAGTGCCTTATTTCTGAAGTTGAGCCTAAATGTTTTTCATGTTGACCACCGCTCCTTATTTCTTTATGTACTGTAGGCAATGGGAATGTCACAATATCACCCCAGCTGGAACTTGTGCTTACTAATGGGAAATGCAATTTCTAAGCTCCGTAAGCCCCACTTTGGAATATTAATGTGCCAATGATGAATGAATACCTATCAGCTTGTAGAATATTATGCAAAATACTGTTCGTCTTTTCACCATTTCCTATATATTAGGTGATGAGTACTTACGTATATGTTGAAATGTTTCTTGCTTGTGGGCCAAGGGCTTTCTGCAGCTTTGCTATAATATTTGGCTATGGTCCGCAGACATCGAGTATAAGCCTACACCATAGTTTTTGCTCCGAGATGTGAGGGAAACTCCTCAACTCCGTATGTCTTACATTTCATTTTCAGGGTGTACTGAATGACCTGAATTAATAAAATGTGTACACCCACTTTAAACTGGCCTCTTGCTTACAGTGAAACACACATTCTAAAAATAAAGAATATGTGTTTCAACACAGACCTCAGGAAATCAAACATTGTACAACATTTAAAACATGTCACATCATGGTGTTATACATTTCAGTCCGATGGAATGAAGACTGATTCCAACCCCTTTCAGTGTCATCCCAATACCATAGCTGACATAAAACTGGGTGGACCTGAGGCTTCATCTCTACCCTTCCCCTCTCAGTCACACAGTAGACTGCTCTCTGGCTGTTTAGGGTCTACGTCGCCCCAGTAAGGCAGGATGAAGGGGAGCTCCTCCACCCTGCTCTCCAACAGCCTCCACAGATGCTGTGCCACAAACTGGTTCCCCTTCTCAGAGAGATGGAGCCCGTCTGAGAGGTAGCCTGTGAAGTCCTGCAGGAAAGAGCAAGTTGTATTCAATTACTGACACTGGTACTGTGCACTATTTGTTTGTTGATAAAGTTACATAGCTACTACCATACTTTTACATTTTAGTCATTTAGCAGACGCTTTATCACATGTAAATGTGAGTGCATACATTTTTCATACTGGCCCCCCGTGGGAATCGAACCCACAACCCTGGCATTGCAAGCGCCATGCTCTACCAACTGAGCTACAGGAGGCTATACATCACTATACTAGAGTTACATGACTAGAGTAAGGCTGGGATTCAATCCGATAGTGCCTTGTCAGCAATGCACTTTTTAAAGTTCCCGCCACATTCATAGTAAACGCTGCTTATGTTGGCCCGATCGGAAATTACATTTAAATGGCGCGTTGTCGAACAAGCTGAGCAACAGTAACATCAAAATGACAACTATTCAAATGTCTCACCTGTCCATCTTTCTGCATGAGAGTCCAGAGGTCCAGCACATCTGCCCCACACTGACCTGCAGCCTGCACACAGGCCTGGGCATACTGGCCCGCCACAGAGTTGAGACGGTTCAGAGCACTACCTGTAGGGAGAGAGGAAAACAGGAGATAACAGACATATAGAAGCCAATTAGAACTACAGCACCACAAACACTACAGCATTCAAGTCCTCAAAAGTGCAATATCTGTTTGAGGCCATTGTTATTTGATTGCTCAGGAGCAAGAATTAGGACTTGTCTTCAGTGTATTCAGACCCCTTCCCTTTTTCACGTTACAGCCTTATTCTAAAATTGATTTTTTTACTCATCAATCTACACACAATACCCCATAATGACAAAGCGAAAACAGGTTTTTTGAAATCTTAGCACATTTCTGCTATGAGACTCGAAATTGAGCTCACGTGCATCCTGTTTCCATTGATCATCCTTGAGATGTTTCTACAACGAGTCCACCTGTGGTAAATTCAATTGATTGGACATGATTTGGAAAGGCACACACCTGTCTATATAAGGTCCCACAGTTCACAGTGCATGTCAAAGCAAAAACCAAGAAATGAGGTTGAAGGAGTTGTCCGTAGAGCCCCCGAGACAGGATTGTGTCGAGGCACAGATCTAGGGAAGAGTACCAAAAATGTCTGCAGCACTTAAGGTCCTCAAATACACAGTGGCCTCCATCATTCTTAAATGGGAGAAGTTTGAAACCACCAAGACTCTTCCTAGAGCTGGCCGCCCGGCCGAACTGAGCAATCGGGGGAGAAGGGCCTTGGTCAGGGAGGTGACCAAGAACCCAATGGTCACTCAGACAGAGCTCCTCTGTGGAGATGGGAGAACCTTCCAGAAGGAAAACCATCTCTGCAGCACTCCACCAATCAGGCCTTTATAGTAGAGTGGCCAGACGGAAGCCACGCCTCAGTAAAAGGCACATGACAGCCCGCTTGGAGTTTGCCAAAAGGCACCTAAAGGACTCTCAGACCATAATTAACAAGATTCTCTTGTCTGATGAAACCAAGATTGAACTTTTTGACCTGAATGCCAAGTGTCACTTCTGGAGGAAACCTCGCACAATCCCTACGGTGAAGCATGGTGGTGGCAGCATCATGCTGTGGGGATGTTTTTCAGCGGCAGGGACTGGGAGACTAGTCCAGGGGAGGGAAAGATGAATGGAGCAAAGAGATCCTTGATGAAAACCTGCTCCAGAGCGCTCATGACCTCAGACTGGGGTGAAGGTTCACCTTCCAACAGGACAACGACCCTAAGCACACAAAGTACTGAGTAAAGGGTCTGAATACTTATGTAAATGCGATATTTTTTTATTTGTTTTTATACATTTGCAAACATTTCTAAAAATATGTTTTTGCTTTGTCATTATGGAGTAGTGTGTGTAGATAGATGAGGGGAAAAAAACGATTTAATCATTTTAGAATAAGGCTGTAACGTAACAAAATGTGGAAAAAGTCAAGGGGTCTGAATACTTTCCGAACACATTGTTATCTGGTGGACGTGCATGTGTGTTCTTTAACCTTTCAGGACACACTCTTTCTCCCATGCTGGCTCATGCAGAGGTGGAGGAGTGATGAAGATGACCTTGTCTGCAGACACACCCACAGACCCCAGGTGTTTGACTATGTCCTTCAGGTTCTCGGAGTACTCCTGCAATGGGATGTGCTGCTGTGGGTTCTTATCTAAAGAAAGAATTAGACAATATCGGACAGAGATCTCTTAATATTGGCAAGAGCAGTGTTTGTCAATCCTGGTCCTAAGGGACACAAAGGGTGTGCAGAGTTTTGTGCCCGCCCAGCACTTGGGTTGAGAGTAACAGGTTGCACTTTCCCTACCTTCTAAAGCACAGTCGTTGGCTCCAAAGAAGACGGTGACAGCAGCTATGTGGTTGCTTGAAGCATTTTCCTTGGAGATGAGGCGAGGCAGGACAACCTTTGCCCACCTGGAGTTGTAGCCTGACAACCCTCTGTTCACAACGTCACATTTTCTAGTGGACAAAAGTGACATTGTTTGATCAATTTGGCCTAATTTACCACACACCCTATTCTCAGAGCAGGAAGTTGCCCCTAACCACTGATACAGGGTCTATATCAGTGGCGGTCGGTGCCATGTAAGATGGAGGATTTTTACAAATGTTTTATGAACATGGCCTTATTTCTATTATAGCTGTCATTCATATTCCATTCACCCAGCTCAATGTAACATTGACAGGTTTAGGCTACTACATGATACTCAAATTTCCCCTGTACCCATCATGAGGTTGCTACAACCTAGCCTATGAATGAAAGTTTACAACATAGGTGCACAGGTCGAGAGCATTTTGAGTAATCAAGGTAACAGACCGTGACACACTCAATACCGCCTTGCACACTCTTGCCTGCATCTAGGGTGTAATCATTAGTCCAACAGTCGCAAACGAAAGTTTCTATTAGACAAATTCAGGTATGTTTATCACGGTTTCGTTCCGTTTGCTTCCGTTTAAGAAACGTTAACCGAATCGGCGAAATGAATACACCCCTGATCACACGCAAATACAGTTCACTTTCATACCAGACACATACAAACAGCTCATTGTATACAGTACCAGTCAAAAGTTTGGACACAACTACTCATTCAAGGGTTTTTATTTTTACTATTTTCTACATTGTAATAATAATAATGTTGCATGAACGCTAATCTTATGTTTCTAACTACATAAACGATTTCAGAACAATCTGTGATGTCATGGGCTTCCTGAAATGACATGGAACGACTATGGGCAACCTGCCAACCCTATGTAAAGCATGTAAGGAAGGGTGCGTGCAACTATTTAAAAGGTATGCCATGTGCGCAAAATATTACTCACCTGACTACTTTATTTGCCATTTCGGAACCCCATCCATTAGGTTGAAATGAAACCTGAAACAATAAACAAAACAAAGTGAGTAGTGACCTGTCAAGTTGCTGGCTAGCAAGCTAACCCAATTTGTAAATGGACTAAACCCTACAAACAAATCGTTTCTGAATGAGAAGATTTACCTGTGTGATTGAGTCGCCAAATAATATGATTTGAGGCCAAATTATGTTCTTGATTTTGGACATTGCTAGCTGGTAGAAATATTGAGCCGATAGCTAATTTACACTTTCAGATTTAGAAATGAAAGCAGTGCTGAATAGGCCCTTTTCACGATGACGTCATCTAACTTCCGCCTTTCCGCGTAGCAGGTTAACTTCACTTCCGTTCGCCCGTAACCTGAGACTTCTCAACGAAAATACAACTGTTGACCACTAACTAGCAAGCTAGCTACTTGAAGAAATTCCAAAAGGTACGTTTAAGTTAAATTAGTAAAGTTAAGAGTAATAATGTTTACGTATATGCAATGGTTTGTAACTTGCTAACGTTATTGTTAATTCATAATTGTTCACTGCCTTAGTTACTTAAAAGTGGGCTAACGTTAGCTAACAACAACTTAGTACCAGATACCGATAACGTTAAAAGGTAGCGTTACATTGCTGCCTGGCTGTAATGTAACAAGTTTACTTAGCTAGCTATCTAACCCTTTGTTAGGCAGTTAGTTTATTCATGAATGTATAGTAACTCACCTATTCAAATACTCTTGTGCATGATAGCTAGATAAATATTGATTCCTGGTCAAAGCTGAATGTTCATTTAGCTGTTTCTTTTCTCCCGGTGTCTGTATCGCAACAGTATCCCATCCAACACCGAAGCATGGCACAATCTTCGAGAAGATGCTATTGCAGTGTACCATTTTGTTCAAACAACAAACAGAAATTCCCGTATCTGAGTTTTCACGATTTCCCTGTTGATGGAGAAATACGTGCCCGTTGGGTGAGGGCGATCAGGAGAGATGAGGGACCAAGTTTTAAGATTCTTCGTGGGAGCACCTTTGTTTGCAGTCAGCACTTTCCCCCTGAGGATAGATACACATCGGCCAGTGGACGGATCCGTATTAAACAGGGATCAGTGCCGTCTAGATTCCACTGGAATGATTGGGGTAAGGATAGGTAGACAGCGTTAAACGTAATACTACTGTAATCCAATAATATATTACTTGTACAAAATGTTTAATAATTTAATCCTGATGCAATATAGCTGCTACATTTTGTCATTTTAGGGACTGAAAAGTGATTACCAAAATGTATCATGACAAGCATATGGTTAATTTCACACTCAGAATGCGGGTTGCCAAAGCCTTGGCAGACAACTCCCCACGAACATGGCATATTTCACGGAATCTGCTGGCTGTCAGTCGGGGTTTGCGTACCTGGCTCCACAGCTGGCATTCTGACTGCATTCTTGTTTCTGCTTCAATAGCAGCAGACATCTCCTCTGACACAATCAGGCTGTCCAAATGACATTGTTGTATGTAGTTGGGCTCAAAATCAATGGGAAATTTAAAGTTGTAACCTTCAATAGGCAACTGAGGAAACTCACTGGCACCAGGGTGTTTAATAATATCTCTACTTAATTCTAGAGGGCACTGGTAAGAAAGCACAGACCCAAATGGCACAGGGCCAAATTTAGAGTCCACCAAATTAAGGCCCTCAAGCCCGTGCAGCAATTTGCAAATCCCTGGTTGTGGACGGATGTCTTTCAGTTTCTCAGCACTGGCCATGACGTGAGGATCCGGAATAGGCCCTGGCATGAAAGTGAGATATGTCAAGTTTAGATTTCATTAAATGCCACCTTATCTTTTTCACTAAAAAAGACAACCACACTCATCCAGTCTCGTACATGCTTCTAATACAAATAACAAAATATCCACTGAAAGTCTATATAAAAAGTAACAAATAATAATCACTTTTATGTTTGTATTATTTTAGAAATGCACTAAAGTCTTTGTGCTCTAGTACAGGCGGGGGCTCATTCAGACTCACCATCATAGGCTCGGTACAGTGTGCACTTCACACCAGCTCTGACACTTGTTTTTTTCTTAGCCGCTGGTTTACACACCGCCATATCATTGGTGGCCTCTGGTACAATTCCCTGTGATATAATAATGATGAACAATACATTGTCAAAAGTCAATACAAACTGCAAAGTTCTGCATCAGTGTAACAAATAATGTCTGACCTGTGTCCTAGGCCGGTGCCAGGTCTGCAGTGCGCTGGTGCATGACAGAGGCAATGGCACTGTCTTAAAGCCCATGGTAACATAGTGAGCACTTTGAAAAAGAAGTGCTACTATGTGATTACATAGTGCTTTCCCAGCAGAGCAGGAACATGACATGTGATTGAGTACCACAGGAACCTCTGCAGAGTCTAGTGTAACCTGTTCATAGAGACATAACAATTAGTGCTGTACTTACAAAACATTTTTTCTGCGTTTCATTATAAACTACTGTACACAATTTTCAAAACCCAATTTCTTTTTTTAATTAAGAAAAATTGGCTGTTCTGAAACCTTTGACAAGTAGTGCCAACACTTATCGAAAATTTGAACATTTTGAGTTATCACAGAATCTTTCCCAGTCTTTATTGCCGTCAACAACCCACATCGGTTTGTAAGAATTTCGTTGTGTATTAAGTTTAATGATACAAAATCAGAGCTCAGACTGAGAAACAAACTGATCCACAGTGGAACTTTGTGGAATCATTCTTATTAAATCTGCAACCGCAGCAAAACACAACAAAAAGAAAACTTATCTATCTTAACCTATCTTATCATAATGTTAGAGAACTGTTTATCTGAGAAACCTGAAGCCGATGAGCCTCCTCATTTTTCTTCATGGACCTGTAACATCGCCCTCTCACTGTCACCTCACCGTTAACTACACTTGAGACTGTTTCAATACAGTGATTGGGAGAAAGGGCGCAGCATTAGCCATTAATACATTACTGACTCTTATCTTACGGTCGATACAAACAGCAGTAATATTAAAAAGAGGCTGCAAAACAGAAACTCGTCAGCTCATAACCTTCGCTAGCATAGGGCTAATTTAAGCTAAATAAAGATAAACACGTACCTTCATAATCAAACGGGTAACCTTCAACGAAGAACTTGTAGCCTTTATCAAGCTTCGATCTTGAAGTAAGGGACCACTTGTCAGCAAGTCGTTCTACGTCGTTAAGTCGTATTGGTGGCAGATGTGAAAGGGACTGGGTGAACTCCATAATGATGTGCTACTAGCTAAGCGTTCCTAAGCGACACCGGATGTAAACATAACCTGCATCGCGGCAGAACGGAAGTTGTCTGACGTCACGTGAAAAGGGCCTATGATAGAAGCTCGCATGTTAAATTGCGCCATCTACCGTGTGGAGGTGGAAGGTGAACAAAATGAGGGCAGAGTTCAAGAATTTCGCATTTTTTATGTTTATTTGACTATTTTGATGAATGCCATGCATTTCTTTACTGTAAAAAAATATACATAAAACACCTTTCATAATGACATAAAACAAGATCCACAACAAGTTTTCAAACAACGTTCCAAACATAGATACAGAACCATGATATACAGGTAACTGCCAAAATAAAGGAAGCACCAACCTAAAGCGTCTTAATAGGGCCTTGGGTCACCACGAGCCAGAACAACTTTAATGCACATTGGCATACATTCTACAAGTGTCTGGAACTCTATTGGAGGGATGTAACACCATTCATCCACGAAAAATTCCATAATTTGGTGTTTTGTTTATGGTGGTGGAAAACACTTTCAGGCGCCACTCCAGAATCTCCAATAAGTAAAATGTTTTATTATACATGACCCTAAGCATGATGGGATGTTAATTGATTAATTAACTCAGGAACCACACCTGTGTGGAAGCACCTGCTTTTAATTTTTAATATACTTTGTATCCCTCATTAACCCAAGTGTTTCCATTATTCTGGAGGTTACCTGTATGGTTCCAAACATCTCTAGTTATGATCATAGCTGCCCTTGATTTCAGTTCACTATCACTGATAATACTGTTGATCAAACACTATTTGGCTGTTTCTATACTTATGATATATCAACATCACATTTTTTTCTACAAAATGTCCAAACAGATCACTACATTTGAGCCATGCATCTCAGTGCTTAGTTACAGAATGCAGTAAACTTTACATTGGTCATCCATCTTTAATTGTGTAAACAGATCCAGACAGCCACTGCTGTCCCTCTAGTAGTCTATCCATTCTAGAAGTATCAGTGAGAGTATGGGAGGAGTAGGTTGACGTTTCCCCTCTAATGATTAACGTTACGATTTCGGAGCGTAAGATGCTCCTAAATCAGGATCAAACAACTATTGGGAACGGGGGTTGGAGGTCTGGGGAGGAAAAGACAACTGCAGGATGACCCCTGACCTTTCAGGGGTTGTTTGGCACAATGATGTATATAAACAGATTAATATGTCTCTGGTTGAACCCCTCATATGACAGGATTGAGGGCACTGCCAGCTCCACCATCTCCTTCAGAGAGTCGTCCTCATATGACACTGTCCTGGTTTCTAGGCAGATGTAGGTAGTCTTACCGTCCACTGTCACCGTGAGGTTTTTACCATGTTTTAAATCTACACAGTCCTCCCCAAACATGTCTTGTAGCATTACATTTTTACATTTTAGTCATTTAGCAACACTCTTATCCAGATTGACTTACAGGAGCAATTAGGGTTAAGTGCCTTGCTCAAGGGCACAGCGACAGATTTTTCACCTAGTCGGCTCGGGGATTAGAACCAGCAACCTTTCGGTTACTGGCACAACGCTCTTAACCACTAAGCTACCTGCCACCACCCCTAGGTTGACCTCCAGTCTGTTCTGGTAAATCTCCATGTCCACCGTTGTACTTCTTTGAGTCTCCATGACTCTTAAAGAGCATTTTTAGTTAAGTAACAATACATTACAGGCCTTTCAATGAAAGAAGACAAGAAGCATGGCAGAGACCTACTTTAAAAATAGTTGAGCGTACATGTTTTGTGTGATGGTTTCAATACAATACAACTTTATTTATTCCCCTCAGGGGCAATTAAGAAAGGCAAGTGGATACTGGTAAAGGTCAAAGTCAATGGCCATACCTTTCTGAGCTTTAGGGTTGGACTGGATTTCCAACACAAAAGTAGTGACTGCATCAGCGTACATGTCATTCAACGGGTTGGCAATCCACTAGTGGATGACAGAGAAACATGGATGTAAACATTCCAGTTTCTCACCAATCTCAGACACCACAATTGTTCACCAAATAAAATATATTGTTATTGATACTGCAGGGTCATGTTCATTAGGGCATGTGACAGAAAATATTTTGCAACAGAAAACGTTAGTTAAGTCTAGGTAGTCCCTCCCTGTTTCAGTCCATTCTCTTCCGTTTGGTGCTTAATGAACAAGACCCAGACTACAACAGACTGCCTGCTCACCTCCAGCGTCACCATGCCTGCCTCATGCACCAGTGTGATGTTCTTGAAGATCTTATGAGTGGTCCAGTGAATGGGATGGCCTGGGTCTGTTTCACTGTGCTCATGGCCAGGTCTGGGTAGTTTAGGAAACATTATGGATACAGTCAGAAGAACCAGGCTCCATTGTGAGAAATACGTGAGAACCTTAGCCTGTTAACAACACTACAGTGCATTGTTACCTTGTTTGGCTAGACAATGCCAGCTAGGCTAAAGCAGAAACAGACTGGCAACCCAGGCTAAAAGACTGTATGATTGTATGACTTAGCTATACATGCTAATATGAACATACTGTAACATATATTAGTGGTCCAGTACTCACTAGAGAGGTCTGAGGGGGTGAGGATGTGGTAGTTTTGCTAGCACAGACTGGAATATGTTCCGGGATTCTTCCAATGGCATTGAGGAGTACACCACATCAGTTACTGGCTTCATCAATAAGTGCATCGATGACGTCATCCCCACAATGACCGTACGTACATACCCCAACCAGAAGCCATGGACTACAGGCAACATCCGCATTGAGCTAAAGGGTAGAGGTGCCGTTTTCAAGGAGCGGGACTCTAACCCGGACGCTTATAAGAAATCCCGCTATGCCCTCCGACGAACCATCAAACAGGCAAAGCGTCAACACAGGACTAAGATTGAATCGTACTACACCGGCTCTGACGCTCGTCGGATGTGGCAGGGCTTGCAAACCATTACAGACTACAAAGGGAAGCACAGCCGCGAGCTGCCCAGTGACACGAGCCTACAAGACAAGCTAAATTACTTCTATGCTCGCTTCGAGGCAAACAACACTGACGCATGCATGAGAGCATCAGCTGTTCCGGATGACTGTGTGATCACGCTCTCCGTAGCAGATGTGAGTAAGACCTTTAAACAGGTCAACATTCACAAGGCCGCAGGGCCAGACGTATTACCAGGACATGACTGTGTCTGTATTACCAATGTTTCAAGCAGACCACCATAGTCCCTGTGCCCAAGAACACTAAGGTAACCTGCCTAAATGACTACCGACCCGTAGCACTCACGTCTGTAGCCATGAAGTGCTTTGAAAGGCTGGTCATGGCTCACATCAACACCATTATCCCAGAAACCCTAGACCCACTCCAATTTGCATACCGCCCCAACAGATGCACAGATGATGCAATCTCTATTGCACTCCGCACTGCCCTTTCCCACCTGGACAAAAGGAACACTTACATGAGAATGCTATTCATTGACTACAGCTCAGCGTTCAACACCATAGTGCCCTCAAAGCTCATCACTAAGCTAAGGACCCTGGGACTAAACACCTCCCTCTGCAACTGGATCCTGGACATCCTGACGGGCCGCCCCCAGGTGGTAAGGGTAGATAACAACACATCTGCCATGCTGATCCTCAACCCGGGGGCCCCTCAGAGGTGCGTGCTCAGTCCCCTCCTGTACTCTCTGTTCACCCATGACTGCATGGCCAGAGATGAGAAGGAGATGTAATCCACAGACATCTTCAGCTGCAGCTTCTGCCCTGACATGGTGTCGATCTCCTCTGGCTCTAACATGATGTGCTAGAGACCACACATGACAGACAGAGATAAAAGACAATTAGAATGATTGTAATAGCCTGTATGTCCTGAAAATGGGATCTACATAGACATTGAACAACTGAAGTGAAACCAGGGTCATATTCATTAGGGCACATAAAACGAAAACAAGTGTTTCTTATTGGACAAGTAGCGGACTAGTCCCTCCCTATTTCAGTCAGTTTTTTTCTCTCCATTTGTTGCCTAATGAATGCGACCAATATGTAAGTCAATCTTACCTTGGCCAAGGTTCCCCCCACACAGTAGCCAGCGATGAGGACTCTATTCCTCTTGTCGGTGCACCACCTCTCAAACAGCTCCCTGGACAGGCCGCTCTGCATCATACCTGGAGACGCCATCACCACACTGGGACCTATGTCGTCAAAGTGGTGCATGCTCTGGAGAGACAGAGTGGGGACGAGAAGTCAGAGACGGGGGATGCTCGAGTCTGGGACATAGGTTCATCATTGAGAGAGGGTTTAAGTGGTGTCTCCCAAGCTAACTAGGTTGAAAACAGATAAGCCAGACATATTGATCCATATATGGAATATGGACATAACGACCATATTCTACCTGTCAAACATAGCATTACGAGTGTGTGCTTGTAGCATTCTCCTTAGAGAAGAAAACCTACAGGTAAGTATCCTCCTAAGAGTTCCTCTAACCTTGAGGTTGCTGATGTTCTTAAAGCCAAAGAGGTTGTTGATGTTGATGGCTTTGCGGATCTTGTCGTTCATGGCATTGACGTAGGTCTGGTAGACGGCCATGCACTTCTTGGCCAGAGAGACGTAGTAGATATATCATGGAGCTCAGGGTGGTTCTGCCAATACACATCTACAGAGAAAACACAACCGGAGCCTCCAGTTTATATTCAATGTGTAATAAGAGGGGAGGGAGAAATGTTAGGTATTTTCAGTCAGAACCATTTGACCATAACGCAGAGGCGCTTGAGGCGGAAGGTCTCACCCAGGATGTGCAGCAGCTCCTGGGCTCTTCCCCAAGGCGAACACGGGGATGAGACAGCGGCCTTCCCTGTTCACTATGCCATGGACCGTGTTACAGAAGCCAGCCTCGCGCTCCTCCCTTTTTTCGTGGATGTGCATGCCATTTGTGGACGAGAGAGAGAGAGAGATGAACTTTGAACCCATCTGCCAATGTGTGGACAAAATATCACAGTGCTTACTGACTATTGGTTCCGTAATATGATGAGGATGTGAGGTCTGATACTGGGGATTTCGGCAGCCATGATGACCGTCCTCCTGGCGAGAGAAAACAGCTAGGGAGAGAGAGATTTTTTGTTGTTGTTGAATAATTCATCCCCAATACAGAGGACTGTGATTACCAGAGACAGGCATTAGAATAGAATAAAAAAGGAATAGAATAACTAACACAATAACAATATCACATCATACAGTATATTGTGTACAGTTGTGTACTTCAGAGGAAACCTAAACACAAATTAAGAAGTTCAATCATCACAATACTTCAATCCACTCCCTACCTTAACTCCAGCAATCTCGATCATGGCTGCACCAAGGACGTGCCCGGTGTGGCAGCACCAGAAATTGATGCCAGCCACCTACTTCACCTCGTGAAGGTTGATGGTCTCTAGCTTGTCCATACTCCCCTCCAGGTCGGTCTCTGTGTATAGCATGTCGTCTGCAGAAATAGAACGACAGAGTGACAAATATTGACATGAAATAGAAATCAAAGACACTGTGGGCCTCGATCACTAGACTTGGGCAGCTCTGCCATAAAGGAACACTGTGTAAGGAGAAAACTCCTATGAATGATGTGGCCTGTGTGGTCTAGCAGTTAGCGCCACAGACCCCAGTACACATACACGACACTCGGCTGTATGTCTCCACAAACACTGACACTGCCAATGCACTCCTGGTCAGCTGCCTGCAGGACATCAAAGCATGGAGTTTTCCTGTCGTCCTGATTGGCACTCGCACCATCATAAACAACACCAGCAGCTACAGCCTCAATATTGATGGTGTCAAGGTCCTCCCCTCCAGTGAGTTTCACAAACCGGGTTTGATATTTGACAGTCAGCATTTGTTTGAGGCCAACATCAAGAGTATGACCAAAGTCTCATTTTCCATATTTTTTGCCAGGTTAAGACCTATGCTATCACAACCTGCAGCTGAGCGACTCATCCACACCTTTATTTCATCCCGTCAGGACTATTGTAATGCCCTTTTTATAGGCGCATCTGCCATGTGCCTAAACAGGCTACAATATGTCCAGAACTGTGCTGCACGTGTCCTCACCACACCTCACTCCAGTGCTGTTCAACCTCCACTGGCTCCCCATATGCTCACGCATTGACTACAAAATCCTGGTTCACACCTACCAAGCTATCCACAACTCTGGACCCAAGTACATGTCTGACCTCATTCTACCCTCCTGCCCCACACGCACCCTTCGCACTTCCGCCTCCCTTCAGCAGCCCCGCAGCAGACTAAAAACTATGGGTGACAGGGCTTTCAGTTGCACGGCTCCGCAGCTGTGGAACGCACTTCCAGACAGCATTATGGCTGCAGAGTCTCTGTCCTCCTTTAAGGCACAGCTCAAGACTGTGCTGTTCAGAAAGCTTTCAAGGACCTCTGCTAATTCTGTTCTCGTGTCCTCCGGATCTGACGACACCTGTATATAGCTTTGATTGTTGTCTGTGTTCTATGTTCTGTGTTTTGGATTGTTTTTATTATTATATATATATTTTTTCTATGTAGTGCCTTGGGTGTGAGAAAAACGCTTGACAAATTAAATGAATTATTATATACCCGAGTCGGCATTAGAATCCAACCCATTCCCTTCTGACTCGCACTCTCTTTCCTTTCCTGTCATCTCGCCACTGTCCTATCTGTTCAATAAAACCAATAAAATACATTAGGAATGGGACTGCCCCACTCCTTCAAAAATATATAATAATAAAAAACAAGTAGGAGTGTTGCCTACCTGACTTTGACTTAATCCGACAGCAGTAGATGGCCTGGGTGGCATGGGTCATCAAGGTTCTCCCTTTGAAGCTGCAACCAGGGCATTCCACCACAGTGGTCCAGGTGGAAGCTGGTGAGAAGAAGACATTGGTCAACACTTACTCTGCACGATCGACCTCATCTATGTAAACAACAACAACAACTCACTGGCTGATGAGGAGCAGGTCTATCACAGATGGATCTATCAAGTCGATGTAGGGAAGAGCGTCCATGCCTTCCAAGCCTGGGTGGATGCAACAGTCCAACTCAGGAGACATGTGTAGGGTCACAATACATGCTTATAACAGCATTACCCTATGTTAAGTGTTACCCACAAAACATGCATGGATGTTAAGATGGAGAATTGACCTACCATGATTTTCCTTCCTTTGAATTCCAAGATGATGCACGATCTGCCCACGTCCTGCCCTGCACTTCCATGATAAAAGCATCACAGGGAGAAAACCATCACATAATTGCATTGTACTTTTTGTTTACATCTCATTTTAATTTATTGCAAATCTCATAATACATCTGGATATCCTTGGAATGGCAGGTGCTACTCACAGTGGTCGAATAAGGAGCTGGTCGCTCTCCTCCGCGGGCTGCCGATATTTCTGTTTTAAGTTTTGCAGCCATACTGCAGAAGTAACATATTCTAATGGTACATTTATAGCAGTAGTACAGGACCTGGATAATGATGACGTTCTCCATTGAATTTTCCCTCCAGACGTATGTTTGTATGAACTTCCGGCTGGCGCACACGTGTCGTCAAAATACGACCGAAGAACACTCAAGCCATCTTTTTAGTTCCGACATAATTACATTATTTGCTCATCTTAGAAAACGTTTTTATATTTTCATTGATAGATACTGAACATACATTGGTTTAGAACTTTTAGTTTTAGCGCCCAATTCAATCACTGTATAAAAAACAGCGTCACACTGTAGACACGTGTTTGTGGCACGTGAAACAAAAGTATCAATTGATGTTCATACTTTGTAACAATGGTGCACTGTAGGTGAGCGGTCGCGTAATTTGTTACAAAGTAACAAAGTTTACAATATTGATACAAATGTAACTAAGTTGCGTCCCCTTTAATGTGATTTTGGGTGGAACTGCAGAGGAAGTGAAGTGTCAATGCGAGTCTCTCACTCGCCTACACAGAAAGAGCCACAGCCCTGCTCCTTTGATGAACAACACCCCAAAACAGCCCCAAACTGGCTTAGAACAAGTTTCAAACTGAGGTATGCCCTGTGTATTTGTGCGTAGTGCTCCGGTTTGGCACTTTCTGTAAAGATACACGATAATTTCAACCTTTTTGAGCGTGAACGGATACGTCGATAAGGGTGTGGGTGGGGTAAATTGTTTATCATAGCAACGGGTTTCCGTTACAAGGGGCATTCATTGACAAAGTTTGGGACAATGGACTTTCATTGAGTGCCAGCCTACTCCAGACACCATTTAAGGGACAGGCGCGAGAAAGTGCGCGTGTGGCAGCCTGTTGATTCTTAATAAGTTGGACAAAGCTCTTGAGTTGTGATGGTGGGAGTGGTAGTATGCAGGACTTGAATAGTATGCATTCACTGTGTGGCAGCTGTTAGTCTCACAAGGACACACAATATTTATGTATGGAATTCCATTTCAAAACGATATTTCAATATTATTATTTTTATTTAGGAAGTAAATATTAATATTATTTGTAATAACTTTGTAATACATGTATGACCACCTTCACACCTAGTGGATGGGTTCATCTCATTCTCTGTAGACTACAAGCCAAATCACATGACTTGCCCTGTGTAGTGCTGGGACCATCACAACAAAATATCCTTGTCTTCATCAGACAGTGGTGCCTGCAAGGGAGCTGGGGGCTGGTGGAGTGCTGGCGTCATGGTGAAGAATGTTCCGGAAGGTCAAAAAGCGTCACAGCAGCAGCAGCTCCCAAAGCAGTGAGATCAGTACCAAGAGCAAGGTGGGCCATTATACATTACATTAGACTACACTGTCCTGGGCTACATTCCAATCCCAGAAAATGTGGATTTTTCCCTTCCCTCGTCCTTCGATGATGCGCTCTAGTTGATCTGAAGAGGATAGATGTAATCAGAATGGAGGAAGCTCCACCTAGTCCTCCAATAGGGAGCTTCCTTTGATTTTCCCTTGTGTTGCGTTCACCTGTCTAGTCTCTGGGGGGGTTCTGGTGCTGGAGCTGCTTGTTGTTCTTGGTAAATCATTTACCATGGAGGCAACAGGGTACAGTCTCAGAATACAAAAGCAGACGCATTCAGAAAATACTGGAGACAGACACAGGCAGGCAGACAGACAGACAGGCAGGTAGACGGACAGACAGGCGGATTAGACTGATTATAATCTTATTAGAAGATCCCTATATGACAGTGGCTTTTATACACGTTAGACGAGAGCTCTGTCTGGACAATGTAATCATGTCTCATACGAGATGCCTGCCCATGTGGTGAATCACAAACAAATGCTAAGATGGTTAAGCCGAAGGGGCGGATGGAGAAATGACTCTTTATTATCATCGATTCACTTACTGCACAGCTGTCCTTTCTGATTACAAACATGACTCAGTTTATTAAGAAGGTCTTGCATTCTGTCAAGGACTCCTGAATCGATGTCTGCTTGAGTTCATTTCTATTTTTTCACTGAAACTCTACTCATAAGTGGTTGGTGTGTGTGTTTCTTTCGTTCTCATACACAAATATTGCAGCAGAAACCATGACCTCTGCGATTTGGTCAACGTTTCAGTCTATCATGTAACTTTTCTCAAGACAATATGGTGAGATGGTGTGCTTTTCTCTCTCCTCTCTTTAGTCAGTAGACTCCAGTTTGGGAGGTCTCTCCAGGTCCAGTACTGTAGCTAGCCTTGACACAGACTCAACCAAGAGCTCAGGTAAGAAAACCTACAACCATGGCCACATCTCAATTCTCTGAAATGACCTCGGCTAGTTTCCTCATCCCCTTTCCTTCCTATTCACTGACAGTCCGATGAAGGGGCCGGAAAGGTTCCAACCATATTGCCTGTACATATCAAGTCCTTTCAGATCTGGCTCTTGTCCAATGTAGGGCATGCAACAAAATATTTCAAAATGTTTCGCAATGGACAACTAAAATGAGTGTCTTATTGGTAGTCCCTCCCTGTTTCAGTTCATTTTCTTCAGTTTGATGCCTAATGAACACCTTCATGACCCAGTGGTAATGACGACGGATGATTGAACTGTGAACTTTAGGTAACAGTGCTGCCTCGGAGACGTGTGCTGAGTTCAGGGTGAAGTATGTCGGCGCCATTGAGAAGCTGCCGTTTGAGATGAGTAAGACCCTGCAGGAGCCTCTGGAACTCATCAACTACATAGATGCAGCCCAGGTAATTAGAACCTGGGAACACCTTCAAATCTGGGATGTACAGTACAGTATGGGCACTTCAGAATGCAATACTATACATTCAGGTTCAATGCAGTGCAGTGGAGACCAATTCATGACTGTATAATCACTCAATTTGATTATGGTGATGGAGATGAATGTTGGAGTGGTGAGGCAGAGGCAGCCTCTGTTTCCTCTTTGACAAGTCACTCTATATGAACAAAGAGTATCTGTTGTGTTCCTTCCATAGCAAGATGGAAAGCTGCCGTTTGTGCCTGGAGATGAGGAGATGGTACTGGGAGTGTCCAAGTACGGAGTCAAAGTGGCCTCCATGGATCAGTGTGTGAGTGATTCCATTTCCATGTTATAAAAGTTCTAGCGCCACAAAAGTTTCTACTGAAACTTGACCTTTCTAGTTGGAACATATTGTTGTAACGTTTCCTAAGTTGGATGTTCTGCACTGTTTCCCGCTCTACCTGATTGTCTGTCTGTATGTCTGCTGTTATAATGATGTTGTAAAGTGCATTATTGTTGTGGTTCCTGTATAGGACGTTCTGCACCGCCACCCTCTCTATCTGATAATGAGGATGCTCTGTTATGATGACGGCCTGGGGGCTGGGAAGAACCTGCTGGCTCTCAAGACCACTGATGCCAAGCAGCAGGACTGCAGCATCTGGGTGTACCAGTGCAGCAGCGCGGTGAGTGTGTTTGTGTTTGCATGTAATAGATAGACGGACCAATGCATTTACCCACCTATTTTTTCCCCCCAACTACACCACTGACTACCACTGTCTCATATTGATAAATCTCAAAGCAATATTCTGGGGTCCACACAAACTCGGGTGCTCTCTAGCTTTTTTTCATACCACAGTTTGTGGCAAACTGAAGGCAATGTGCATTTACCCACCTATTTTTTCCCCCAACTACACCACTGACTACCACTGTCTCATATTGATAAATCTCAAAGCAATATTCTGGGGTCCACACAAACTCGGTGGCTCTCTAGCTTTTTTTTCATACCACAGTTTGTGGCAAACTGAAGGCAATGCTGAGCAAGATAATTGTTTATCATGTGTGCGACAGCTTTCCTGTCTTGACCCCTCATCCATTCATAAGAATAGCAGCAGACTTAGGAAGCAGGCCTCAATGGCTCATACAGACAAATCTCTTTCACAATGGCCCCACTTCAGCGTCAGTCACTCTGGATAAACTCATCTGCCAAATGACTGAAACAGTGTGTGAATTATAGGGGGCATGAGCTCCCCTAAATGCAACAAAAGTCAAACTTTGGGTGGGTCTCTAATTGATCCATTCTCCTATTTGTTTAAAATGCCATTTTGTACCGCTACATAGTAAAGACAATGTATTTGAATGCTAAACATGTATTATCTTTTAATGAGGCATGAACACAACCAGTCATGATATTTTCATCTGATTGTCAAACAAATCACTTGAAAAAGTAGGCTACCTGCGCACATTCGTCAACTCCAAAATTATTCCAGCATCCAAACAGTGCACTGTGCACCTGCCATTTGATGAAGGGAAAGAGACATCTGTTACAAAACCCCAAAAGGTGTAATGACCATTGTCATTAGGCCTACACTCTTGTAGCTTGAATTAATTGATATGTTTTTTTTTGTAAAAAGAAAAGTCGGGACACCTGAAAAGGGGCTGAAATATGGGACGCAAATACAGCTGTGTCTGTCCTGAGCTCATCGGCGCCATAGCTGTGGGAAGTAGGGGTGCTGAGGGTGCTGCGGCACCCCCTAAAAAATCTGAATTTAATACAAAATGTGAACAAACATTTTTTTTTCACAAAAGTAGTGCACTGGGCCTTTACTAGCATTAGCGGACCGATATAGATGTCCGTAGTGCGGGCATTCTTTTTTTACAGACATCTCCGCTTTGGCAAAAGGTGTTGAAATTAAGATCATTGTCTTGCAGGATTCTGTTCAATGAACATGATGGCGCACAATTGGCCCAACGTCGTCCGGGTTAGCGAAGGGTTTGGCTGGGAGGACTTTAGTTCGCTCATCGCGCTCTAGCGACTCCTTGTGGTTGGCCGGGCGCCTGCAGGCTGACCTCAGTCATCAGGTGAACAGTGTTTCCTCCGACACATTGGTACGGCTGGCTTCTGGGTTAAGCAGGCGGGTGTTAAGAAGCGCGATTTGGCGGGTCATGTTTCGGAGGACGCATGACTCGACCTTCGCCACCCGAGCCGTTGGGGAGTTGCAGCAATGAGACAAGATCGAAATTGGGGGTGAAATACAAAACAAAACAAAAAGTGCAAAGTTATGGGCAAAGACACAAAACATCCACATCAAATTAAATATTTTTAATGATAAAATAACAACTTTTTGTGCAGTATTCATTTACCATCCTAACAAACCACTTAATGTAAATGTACATTACTGTATTTTACATTGGCTGGTCATCTAGGTTTGGTACCTGTAGACTTTCCATCACCATGAAGAAAAACAATGCACAATACAGTCATTGAGTACATTGAGACATCAAGGGGGTTGTGATGATGTGGCTCAGTTGGTAGAGCATGGCGCTTGCAACGCTAGGGGTGTGGGTTGGATTCCCATGGGGGACCAGTACAAAAAAGTATGAAAATGTGTGTACTCACTACTGTAAATTGCTCTGGAAAAGAGCATCTACTAAAATGTAAAAGGAATGAATAGACCATTTCAGTTTTCACAGAAATATTAGCAAAGTATTTCAAGAAACTGGAAAACATATCATGCAAGTATTAACTGTTTTGTACAGATCATTACCAGACTCAAGTTACAAATGCTGGTAAACATAAAATACAAATACATTTAGTTAATATAGACGTCTTCAGCCCAGCCCCAAAAAATATATATTCGGCAACAACAAAAAAAAATCACACCACCCCACAACCACTTCCCGTGGCTATGGTGAGGGCCCAATGTTGCAAGTTTGCTAACGAAAGCTCAAGATAGGCAGAGAGAGGGAGACAGGCAGAGTAGAGAGATTCATGCGATTGAATTTTTTTTAACCAACTGTCACTGGTTTAAACCATGACAGAGAGGTAGTGGTGTTCGTTTAATTTGGAATAAGCTTTTATTTTCATATTTACTCCCACACTGTGTTTTCATAACACGTCATTTTCCCTTCTCCTCTCCCTGTCTCTGTGCAGGAACAAGCCCAGGCCATCTGCAAGGTGCTGTCTGCCTCCTTCGACTGCGTGCTGACATCAGAGAAGTCCTGAAAGGTAGTCGCCCTGAAGGACGGGACTATCCTCACGTGGGGGCAGCACCATGACCAATCGGGAGCCTGGAAACCATAGTTTACAGCAGGGTCACGACATACCCAGCATGCTTTGTAACACCTCTCACACACCACCTACAGGCCACAAACAGCTTGTTTTATTGTTTTTAATCTAACTTAATCTTATTTAATGTAAATACATTAGACAGTACAGGGAACTCATGGCTGGACTTGGGAAGGAAGTGGCTGTTTGCTGTCTAGATCTCTGATAATAATATTGCATCCAGAGACTCCATTGACTTCCTTTATAAAAGGGGGAAAGTGGTAACCGTGGTACGTATGGTACGCCGCAGTCAATATTTCCATTATGGATGGAGAAACAGACCTAGACTATCACAAACATGCTGTAGACCCCCCCCTTCTCCTCTATCCCTCTCTCTTCTATACAAATCAAAGGTACGGTATTACATTTACATTTTTAGTCATTTAGCAGACGCTGTTATCCAGAGCGACTTACAGTTAGTGAGTGCATACATTTTCATACTGGCCCCCCGTGGGAAACGAACCCACAACCCTAGCGTTACAAGCACCATGCTCTACCAACTAAGCTACACGGGGCCCACGGTATCAAGACATAACACTGTGACTCTCATCCCCCTCTCCATACCACTCCTCCCATACTCCCTTTACTCCTTGGTCCAGATGGGATTGGATCAGTTAATATGGTACAATAAAGGAAAGGAATTGTAATGAATCATGCAGTCTTTTTTCTTTGATTCCCTGCTGTTTTGCCCTTTAAAACAGATCAGTTCCGGTGACTAGGCTGTCCAGTACTTCAGTATTCCCGTCATTCTCAGGCTGACTTATGGGATGCCTGCTTCCTCCCAAACTCTGTGGGATAGGAGTCCTAAATCCTCCAGGTTTATGAAGCATCCAGCCTGGCTGTGTCTGTGAAGAAATTACCTTGAGGTACCAAATGACCCTGTCATTCGGTGTTATAGTCAGATCAAAGGAGATACTGTATACACATACCGGCCCCAACATTACAGAACTAGTTTACTCTCTATAGACCGAGATTCAATCTGATTGCCGGTTATAGGCGTTGCGGCTTTAAAAGGCAATTTACGATTGAGCTGGCATATGCAGCGTTGACAGTGAATGGGTTCTCCGCGACGTGGGAACATTGCCTTCAAAAACAGCAATGCCTATAACCTGTGATCGGATTGAATCCCGGCCGTACTCTCTATATAATAATAAGTCATTTAGCAGATGCTCTTATCCAGAGCGACTTACTGGAGCAATTAGGGTTAAGTGCCTTGCTCAAGGGCACATCGACAGATTTTTCACCTAGTCGGCTCGGGGATTAGAACCAGCGACCTTTCGGTTACTGGCACAACGCTCTTAACCACTAAGCTACCTGCCACCCTATAGAGTTCAGTGTGGATGTAAACCTTAGGTGTAGTGGTATGGCACCAGAACATAAGGGAGAAAAATCGCAGAAAAAGTTAGAAACCATGGACATAGCTCATACATAGGATTGGGCTGTAGTGGGTTTGACCATTCTCCACCAGAGAGAGCTCTTGTTGCATTATGATTATATTTAGTGTACTGCCCAGAAAGTTACAAACCTAGTAGTCTAGCACTCTAAAATCACCATACTACACAGCATTTACACACTGTTAAACTGCTTTTAGAAGCAACAATACACTATGATAAATGCAAGATAAGAATGGAGAGACTAAAACACTGGGAATTATTTCATTGTATTATTCCAGTTTCAATTTCCCATTTATTTTGCACAATAGGTTAGAGTCAATGAGTATGAATGGAATAGCTTCTCAGCCTTGGTTTGCGTGTACACTACTAGTCTACACACTGAACACCAGCTGGAGTACAATCTGGCAACAGCACGTCATCACAGTGCATTAAAAGACAGTTACTGCCAAGGTCATTAACTCTTATTTTATACATTTAAATATCAACAAACAAAATCTATAACATTTACAGATTAACCATCCTATTTCCAGTGAGTTAATATGGGGAGGAATAGTGTAGCAGGTACATTTATCACATGCGACACCTCCTGTTGTCGTCGTCTATCGTAGTTCATTCACAATCGAGAGTTCTGTATGTCCCATTTAAGATTAAACATCAAACATGTACAGAGAGAGTTGCCCTGCAACCAAAATCAGACATGACATCAAATGCTTATAATTTTAAAACATACTCTTCAGTATGGGACCTAGGATATATAAAACAAGGGTAGTCTGTAACTAATGCTGGTCCCAGCTAGTAATAAAGTTGTGGAATATGGTATAATCCTAGGCTGAGCACTATTAATCAGATTGAATACTATGGTAGGTGTGTGTGAGTGAGTGAGAAAGTGTGCGTAAAAGTATTTGCATTGTCCTTTGAAGTGTGTCATCTGGTATTGCCATCCCCCTTACAATGGCACCTCAAAGGACAAGTAATTTTTAGTACAATGACAACTATGTGCATGTGTGTCCACATGTACCTCTGTGTGTGTGTGCCATTTGGTAGCCTGCTGTCCACTACAGATAAAAGGCACAGGACAGGAGCCATCACCCTCACCCCGTGGAGGTGCATAAACCCCTCTCACTGTCTATGTCCCAAATGGCATCATATTCCCTATATAGTGCACTACTTTTGACCAGAGCCACAGAAAGATGGAGGTGTTTCACAACTAAAGTGTGATCTATGCAGCTAAGATAGTTCACAACATCCATTTCACTGATATTGATATTATAGCAGGTGGGTAAGAAGTGCAACAATTAGGCATTTTATAACAGCTAGTAAATGTGTCAGAGATGGGTATTAATGCAGTAAATCTGGTACCACACTGTAGGCCATCTAAATGGAGACGATGTGCTGTAAGTAACTTATATTGTTTCAAGCTGATTTGCACATGCAGGTACGCACACACAGTAGGGTAGTGAGCCTGGGTTCTCCCAGATCAATAGAGGCCTAAATATACCCCCAGCAACCCCATGTTGTTACCATGTTACCAAGGGCTGTCTAGAAATGGGGACAGTGGATCACCCCTAGGGAAGGGCTCCTAGCATATTACTGGGCTAGCACCATTTTGAATTACGTTTGCCCAGTGGTGTGGTGGAGGTATACGCTGTATCAATGAATAGGGCTGATGGAACAGATCAGAATGTTTAGCTTAAAGTGTTGATAAACTATTATTTCTTCACATTTTAGGTGCATCAATGTACACACTGCAGTAGGCCTACGCGTAAATGTACCAAAATGCAATTTGTGGGAAAACACGGTTCTAAAATGCGAGCGGTTTCATGGACAGAGACATTTTGAAAGAGGGAAGATCTAAAAATGCAACAACTATCATGGGTTGCTAATATGACTACGATAATGCCTTTGTCTGATAAACAATGAAAGAAAGTTGATTTTAAAACCAATAGAACAGGAGCGTGAATATGAGGATGTCTTTATAAATTAATTACCTCCACGTTTCTATGATGGGATTTTGACTATAGGCTACTTTGTAGAAAGTAAGACATGCCCCATAATATGAAGTAAAACGTCAAGGTTTCAAACAATTAAGGAACAGGAAAAATATAGCGAAGCTAATGATAGGCCTAACAGTCTTCTGGTAGCCTAGATGGAAAGGCTTTCCCCAAAAAACTTTCAATTAAAATGTTAACTAGCTCCAAAGTAGCCTATGCCTACCTGGCAGCATGATTATTTCCATCAATCCAGTGGCCATTTGTTTTGAAAACTCCATCTCATGTGTGCTACAGAAACACTGCTAACCAAACAGTGCTAGGCGTCTGCACAGTTTAATTAAAGGTTAATTACTGCAAAAAAAAAGTATTTGTTAGATTTTTCCCATACCTCAAAAGTGGTCTCCCGCTGTGGCATTGTTGTGGACTTAGAACATCCAATTTTGTTGTTTTTCTATTAAAAAGTGTGACTTAGAGTGAAAACCTGTAAAAAAAAAAAAAAAAAATCTGAACTCTGAATTTATGGACTCAGTTGATGGCCTCATTTATGCATTTCAATAGTAGGCCTACTATTAGCCTACTGCACAGTACAGCTTGGGTTGGCCTGACTGTGAAAGACCAATATGGGATTGATCATTTTAGGTCATTCAGTGTCACTTTTTGTCATATAATTTTTCATACAGGCGCCTTTCCGTCACCAGGCGGGCCTTTGGGAATTTTTTGGCCAAATTATAGTATACCCACTTTTCCAGGCACCACTACACCACTGAATTTGCTTCCCACATTGTGAGTCCTATAAAGTTAACATGTCTTTGCCTATTAAGCAGTTATGTGTAAAAAATAAATAATAATCACCCTTTAACAATGCAAAGCATATCGACTATATTCACATTAATGATAAGTGAAAGAAATCCTAAAGATAAACAGTACTGTCCCTGTCAGCTGTCCTTGAAGAACTTTCTGTACAATTCACAAACCGAAGACAACAGAGTGAAATACTTATTAACAGAACCTTCATTTTGTCAATAATCCTCTAAATGTCGCGACCTGGATAAATAAGCAGAAAGTGCATTTTATTGCAAGAGGTTACCTACTACAATCATTGTTTTTGTTTTTTTATGTCAGATGGTGTCAGAAGTCTAAACACAGTTTCCCCATGAGCCTTTGCAGGCTTGGCCTAAAGGAGTGATATGACGTCACATGACATTCCTGGAGTAAAGGGTGGATCTGTTGTCATGGCAACACATTGTATAGCCAAAGCATTGGGCAGCAACACTTCACTCTTCTTTAGTGTCAGTGCAGGCACAAGCTTGATGATGATGACAAAGATAATTTCGTGAAGGGCATTTCCATCCCAGGTCAGTCCATGTGTTGACCTCCGGTGACCTTTGACCTTCAGTCCATGATGAAGTGTACGAATGTGACGGGGAAAGCCCCCCTCCTCATTGGTTCTCCTTCGATGTGGCCCAGCTGGGAGAGAACAGGAGAGATGCACAACGTAACACACTGATAATTGGGACAAAACACACACTTTTTGCATATAGCTATGGCAGGGTTGGGTAGGTTACTTTCTAAATGTAATCCGTTACAGTTACTAGTAACCTGTCCAAAATTGTAATCAGTAACGTAACTTTTGGATTACCCAAACTCAGTAATGTAATCTGATTATTTTCAGTTACTTTTGGATTACATTCCCCTTAAGAGGCATCAGCAGAAGACAAACACATTTGACTTCTAACACCTTTTAAATTCTGCTTCAGTTGTTGTCAATTCAGACGCGGACATAAACAAAATGCCATTGAAGTCAGAAAAAGAGAGAGGAAGGCTGAGATTTGGGGATTTGGAAAGGCATCTGTAACACAGAGTCCCATGGAGAATAAGTGACTAAATACGGTCATGTTTGCAGAGGTGGCTTTTGGAAAAACAAGTTGCAGCTGGTCTGTATTCAGACAACGGGCTCTGCAGAGGAAGGAAGGAAGGCAGGCGGGGGCAGGGGAGAGGGAGAGGAAGGGAGGGAGAGAGGGAGAGGAAGAAGGATGGCCAGAATGAGGTCATGGCTTTGTGCTGCTGGGGCCACCAAGATTTCTGGCACATGCTCAGTGGACTCTCTCGGAATGGGCCAAATCTGGACTAGAAAAGGGCCGGACTGCTCTCACTGCGTGTGAATGAAGACAAACACACACCCACTCTCACGCTCTCCACTTTCAATTTTCACACATCCAATACACAAAATAGTAGCCTGATCTAGAGATGATACTCACCCACCACTCCTGGTCCTCCGCCCCGTCCACCACAATCACCTCCCCCTCAGAGAAGGTTAGCTCGTCTGCATTGTCCGCCATACAGTTGTAGATGGCCTTCACCCGCTTGGGCCTCTGCTTCTGAAGAGACACAGACAGACGGGCATAGCAGTATTTGTATTTGTATTTATTAAGGATCCCCATTAGCTGCTGCCAAGGCAGCAGCTACTCTTCCTGGGGTCCTGCAACATTAAGGCAGTTATATACAATTTAAAATATAATTACTAGAACCAACATTCCCATTCAAGTCAACCTTCCGTGACGGGTGGTCCGGGGCCATATTGAGTGTGCCCATGACAAGTGCACTGTCAAATTGCCATGGTCTCAGGGGCTTTTCCCCATTCTAATCATTCTATTTCAATGCAGACAGGCAGGTGTACTGACTGTTCTGCAGACAGATGCTGTCGTTTAACTGAAGTATCTAACTATCTGTCACTCCTTTGGAATGCTTGACGCCCACTTCCACATTGACTGCTGGAGGGTTGCATAGCAGACAAATGACACAGGACATAGTAACTGTCAGGCAGGGGGAGTTGTGCATCACGTGTTTTCGCCACAGGCTATCCCTGATCTGTCAGTGGTTTACATGGTGAGCCCGTGTGACACAGAATGCTAGCACTGAGCTAGGGACAGAGATATGAGAGGTTTCCCCATCTGTCAAGAACAAGTACACACTTAAAGGTTTCCCTCCCTCTTAGCATTGTATGTTCCATGGGGTACAGGAAGGACACCTCATAGAGAAAACACTGTTAGAGCCATTGATACTCAGAGTGCATTGGACTGTGTGGGACAATAAGACCAACTGAAACACAACGACGAGATCAGATAGAGAAGTCCAATAAGTGCCTCTGTATTGTCCATAACTGTTCCATCACAATCAATAACAGGGCAAACAACCATATAAGGTCAACGGTAGGTCGGAGGAACTCACCGGATAGGTCTTCCTAGGCATGGGGGCGGGAGGCAGCGGTTGACCTATTGAGTTCTGGGGGCATCCCGGCACTTCTTTAGCTGGAGGAGGAAGAGGATTTGATGACATTGTTGTGAAAACACAAACTGTTCCACACAGACACAAAATCACACAACCCAGATTGTCTGCAGCCGACCCACAGATAACATACCGGCCTGTTTGTAAAATTGTAATCTGACTATGTTACTTGTGATGCTTTTACAGATTATGTACAGACACAGAGTAAATCAAGTTGTTGTTTTTTACACCCACCTGGTCTTTCGATGGACCCAGTTCGAGTCGGTCCTTTGCTGAAGCTTTTGTCGTTGCTAAAAACCACAAACATAACCTTGTAGTCAGCTGCTGTTTAGGATGTGCTTAAAATGAACCCACACACATTTACCCCACAGTGCATTTCCCTTTAACAGTCACACAACTCAGACCTATGGGAGCTTGAGTAGAGCCATGTGGATGAATAGTGTTAAGTTGTTTGTCTTTTAGGACAGCTCAGCTTGGAAGTTAATGAAGTGGTAAACCAGAAACCCTATAGGCTATTTTCCAAAGATAAACTTGCTTTGTGTTCATCAAAGTAAAACATGCTGCCTCAGGCAATGTGTGTCCAACATTTTTGTGTGTGTGTGTGTGTGCGCTCACCCAGAAGGAGACTTGGGTGTTGGGGCTCTGTTGTGGCCCTGTCCGGTCCCTGGTTTAGACTGCTGGTTCATCGCCTCCATCATACTCACTGTCTTGGCCACGGGGGGAGGAGCAAGACCTGGGGTGACAGAGAGAGATAGAGGTTGAAAGAGGGCTCTAGATGGACAAAATGGAGATAGCCTCAATAGCGCTGCCCATGCTGTCACAGACATCATCAAGGCACAGATACAAAGATGAGTCCTCATCCTAAGTTACCCATCTCTTTCTCATCTAAACTGGGTGTGTTTTTCTCCTTGGTGTCATCTTTGTACATCATGTTGTAAACATACTGCATGTGCCTTATATATACTGTAACATGAGCTATCGACAATAATGCTATGTACAATCATTAACCATGATTATTATGATTATGATAATGATTATGGTTATTATTATGATTATTATGTGTTAAGACAATGAGTCCTTGAGGTGAGGTGCCTACCAGTGGTTGAGGTGACCCTCATGGGGGGTACGGGGGGGTGGATATTGGGGGGGTCTGAGGAGGACCTCTGTCGGACCCCCAGGTCTATAGAGCCAGGCTTCCACCCAGAGGACCCTGATGACTGGACCATCCCGCCCAGACCTGACAACTGGACTGGGGAGGGAGGAGGGGGAAAGAAGATATGCTTTGGCACCTGGAGACATGCATTGCTTGCTCTTTGGGGTTTTAGGCTGGGTATCTGTAAAGCACTGCTGATGTTAAACAGGGCTTTATAAAATACATTTGATTGATTGATTGATTGATTGATTGATTGATTGAGAGAGACTTGACACCAATGCAGAACACAGAAAGATTGGCTACTCCTGGAATTAAATAGACAAGACTGGCCAAAGTCAAGTTCACTGGAGAGGAGTTGCTGATGGCCAATGCTCTTCGTGGGGCAATGGGCCCAAGTAAGTAAAGACAACATGTGCTTCGAAGTGAGTGAGTTTAATCAAATTGTTCAGCATGGTGGAATGTGAGCATTCGGATGCACAGACAAATTCAATTCAGGAATTGAACGTTTTGGACTATTTTCAATGCGCATTAACCAAATTGCTTTCCAGTGATATCTTGGGTTATTTTCAGTCTGCCTCTCATCATGGACTATGGAGCACAGACTGAGAACTTTTCGGAAAAATTAGCTCACTAGCTCACTCTGCCGCCGCCAATGTGCCTGTCCATGCTCCCTACCCAGAGTCCTCTCTGCCCTTCAAATAGGTCAGAGCGCCACACGAGTCACACAAGTCACCATGGGGCCTTGCACTAATTAGAGAAGGCCATCTACAGTATATGACAGATATGTGGCCAAATTGAGATTTCCCTCTATTTGAACTGAACCCATTGGGCATGTATTATAAATACCATTCTCCAAAAATGACGAGGAGGACGAGAGGTGAATCTGATTTGAAAAGGGCTTGACGCCGGGGTAATTTGATATGGATCACGTTTAGCAACTTCAAATCAGGATAATTTTTTTAACATTCTGAAACTAAATCAGTGCTCAAATAGCATTCACACTGATTCCCTGAACAAACTAAACTTGTTCATAGAATTTGGTTCGTTTCGCCAAATGAACGCAGCACCCAACTTGCTATCACAGAAAAAATATATTTTTTAAAGTACCTATGTTTCGTGGGGGCAGAGGGGGTGCGGAGGTGGGGGTGGGCCCCCCGGGCGCGGGGGGGCTGGCGTTGAGGATGGTGCCGTAGGTCTCGTTGTTGACCAGGTTAGGCATGTACCCACCACGCTGCTTGTCCTTGGCCAGGCTGGCAGCGTCCCGTGCCAGGGAAGCAGGGCTGGGCTGGCGGTGGGTGTTGGAGCCAGGGGTGTAGCAGCTGACCGGGCGCTCCTCTCGCCGGTGGGGGCTGGGCTGAGGGAGGACAGGGGTCAAAAGGTTATAGAAAGGTCATCAGGGTGTGTTTGTGTTATGTACAGTGGCTTGCGAAAGTATTCACCCCCCCTTGGCATTTTTCCTATTTTGTTGCCTTACAACCTGGAATTAAAATTGATTTTTTGGGGGTTTGTATCATTTGATTTACACAACATGCCTAGCACTTTGAAGATGCAAAATATTTTTTTATTGTGAAACAAACAAGAAATAAGACAAACAAAACAGAAAACTTGAGGGTGCATAACTATTCACCCCCCCCAAAGTCAATACTTTGTAGAGCCACCTTTTGCAGCAATTACAGCTGTACGTTTCTTGGGGTATGTCTCTATAAGCTTGGCACATCTAGCCACTGGGATTTTTGCCCATTGTTCAAGGCAAAACTGCTCTAGCTCCTTCAAGTTGGATGGGTTCCACTGGTGTACAGCAATCTTTAAGTCATACCACAGATTCTCAATTGGATTGAGGTCTGGGCTTTGACTAGGGCATTCCAAGATATTTAAATGTTTCCCCTTAAACCACTCGAGTGTTGCTTTAGCAGTATGCTTAGGGTCATTGTCCTGCTGGAAGGTGAACCTCCGTCCCAGTCTCAAATCTCTGGAAGACTGAAACAGGTTTCCCCTCTAGAATTTCCCTGTATTTAGGGCCATCCATCATTCCTTCAATTCTGACCAGTTTCCCAGTCCCTGCCGATTAAAAACATCCCCACAGCATAATGCTGCACCACCATGCTTCACTGTGCGGATGGTGTTCTCGGGGTGATGAGAGGTGTTGGGTTTGCGCCAGACATAGCGTTTTCCTTGATGGCCAAAAAGGTCAATTTTAGTCTCATCTGACCAGAGTACCTTCTTCCATATGTGTGGGGAGTCTCCCACATGCCTTTTGGCGAACACCAAATGTGTTTGCTTATTTTTTTCATTAAGCAATGGCTTTTTTCTGGGCACTCTTCCGTAAAGCCCAGCTCTGTGGAGTGTACAGCTTAAAGTGGTCCTATGGACAGATACTCCAATCTCCGCTGTGGAGCTTTGCAGCTCCTTCAGGGTTATCTTTGGTCTCTTTGTTGCCTCTCTGATTAATGCCCTCCTTGCCTGGTCCGTGAGTTTTGGTGGGCGGCCCTCTCTTGGCAGATTTGTTGTGGTGCCATATTCTTTCCATTTTTTAATAATGGATTTAATGGTGCTCCGTGGGATGTTCAAAGTTTCGGATATTTCTTTATAACCCAACCCTGATCTGTACTTCTCCACAACATTGTCCCTTGGTCTTGCTTGGTGGTGCCCTTGCTTAGTGGTGTTGCAGACTCTGGGGCCTTTCAGAACAGGTGTATATATGCTGAGATCATGTGACACTTAGATTGCACACAGGTGGACTTTAATTAACTAATTATGTGACTTCTGAAGGTAATTGGTTGCACCAGATCTTATTTAGGGGCTTCATAGCAAAGGGGGTGAATACATATGCACGCACCACTTTTCTGTTATTTATTTTTTGAAACAAGTAATTTTTTTCATTTCACTTCACCAATTTGGACTATTTTGTGCATGTCCATTACATGAAATCCCAAAAAAAATCAATTTAAATTACAGGTTGTAATGCAACAAAATAGGAAAAACGCCAAGGGGGATGAATACTTCTGCAAGGCATGTATGTATGTATGTATGTATGTATGTATGTATGTATGTATGTATGTATGTATGTATGTATGTATGTATGTATGTATGTATGTATGTATGTATGTATGTATGTATGTATGTATGTATATATATATATATCAATTTGTAAGTCGCTCTGGATAAGAGCATCTGCTAAATGAAGTAAATGTAAATGTAAATATATATATATACTTTTATGTGTGTGTCTGTGTGTATGTGTGAGTTCATGGTGTGTGTGTGTGTGTGTGTGTGTATAATCTGAAGTGAGTCCTCACCCTCACCTTCTCATCAAGGTCCTCATCACTCTCGTCCATGTCTTCATGGTGCAGACGCCACTCGTACTCTACGTGTACGTGGACGTTGAACTTCCCCGCCAGCGCTGTGTTCAGCTACACACGCACACACACACACACACACACTGACAGTGATTAATAGCTCAAACAAAGCTTGAAGATAAGGAGTCACTCTCTATCTTGCTAAAGACGTGCGCACGCACATACACTTACAGTGAGGGAAAAAAGTATTTGATCCCCTGCTGATTTTGTACGTTTGCCCACTGACAAAGACATGATCAGTCTATAATTTTAATGGTAGGTTTATTTGAACAGTGAGAGACAGAATAACAACAAAAAAAATCCAGAAAAACACATGTCAAAAATGATATAAATTGATTTGCATTTTAAATTAGGGAAATAAGCATTTGACCCCTCTGCAAAACATGACTTAGTACTTGGTGGCAAAACCCTTGTTGGCAATCACAGAGGTCAGACGTTTCTTGTAGTTGGCCACCAGGTTTGCACACATCTCAGGAGGGATTTTATCCCACTCCTCTTTGCAGATCTTCTCCAAGTCATGAAGGTTTCGAGGCTGACGTTTGGCAACTCGAACCTTCAGCTCCCTCCACAGATTTTCTATGGGATTAAGGTCTGGAGACTGGCTAGGCCACTCCAGGACCTTAATGTGCTTCTTCTTGAGCCACTCCTTTGTTGCCTTGGCCGTGTGTTTTGGGTCATTGTCATGCTGGAATACCCATCCACGACCCATTTTCAATGCCCTGTCTGAGGGAAGGAGGTTCTCACCCAAGATTTGACGGTACATGGCCCTGTCCATCGTCCCTTTGATGCGGTGAAGTTGTCCTGTCCCCTTAGCAGAAAAACACCCCCAAAGCATAATGTTTCCACCTCAATGTTTGACGGTGGGGATGGTGTTCTTGGGGTCATAGGCAGCATTCCTCCTTCTCCAAACACGGCGAGTTGAGTTGATGCCAAAGAGCTCGATTTTGGTCTCATCTGACCACAACACTTTCACCCAGTTCTCCTCTGAATCATTCAGATGTTCATTGGCAAACTTCAGACGGCCCTGTATATGTGCTTTCTTGAGCAGGGGGACCTTGCGGGCGTAGTGTGTTACCAATTGTTTTCTTGGTGACTATGGTCCCAGCTGCCTTGAGATCATTGACAAGATCCTCCCGTGTAGTTCTGGGCTGATTCCTCATCGTTCTCATGATCATTGCAACTCCACGAGGTGAGATCTTGCATGGAGCCCCAGGCCGAGGGAGATTGACAGTTCTTTTGTGTTTCTTTCATTTGCGAATAATCGCACCAACTGTTGTCACCTGCTCACCAAGCTGCTTGGCGATGGTCTTGTAGCCCATTCCAGCCTTGTGTAGGTCTACAATCTTGTCCCTGACATCCTTGGAGAGCTCTTTGGTCTTGGCCATGGTGGAGAGTTTGGAATCTGATTGATTGATTGCTTCTGTGGACAGGTGTCTTTTATACAGGTAACAAGCTGAGATTAGGAGCACTCCCTTTAAGAGTGTGCTCCTAATCTCAGCTCGTTACCTGTATAAAAGACACCTGGGAGCCAGAAATCTTTCTGATTGAGAGGGGGTCAAATACTTATTTCCCTCATTAAAATGCAAATCAATTTATAACATTTTTGACATGCGTTTTTCTATATTTTTTTGTTGTTATTCTGTCTCTCACTGTTCAAATAAACCTACCATTAAAATTATAGACTGATCATTTCTTTGTCAGTGGGCAAATGTACAAAATCAGCAGGGGATCAAATACTTTTTCCCCCTCACTGTATATACGCACGCACGCACGCACGCACGCACGCACGCACGCACGCACGCACGCACGCACGCACGCACGCACGCACGCACGCACGCACGCACGCACGCACACACACACACACACACAGCACTCACCAGCTCCTCACACTGTAGGTGCTTCAGTCTCTTAGCGATGTCCAGCGGCGTCTCCCCAGACTCATTAGCTACAGGAAGAAGACATCATTTTGATCCATTCATTTACTTTATATATGTGTAAATTACACTACCACTCGAGATCAACACCTCACAGATGAGCACTGACAAGTAACCCGAGACACAATTATCATCTCTTGGCTATGACAGCATGAATTATGAAGATATCTACACCCAACTCAACAACCTGTCAACACAATGCTAGCATACCACTAGGCTGCCAGGGGGCCTACTGCTTTGGCAGCTAGACAGAGAGCCAAGCCATGTCTGTCAACAGCCATGTTTGTAACAACATCTTCTCTCCCTGTCTCTGTAAGCTAGATAGCATTGAAGATAGTGTGTGAAACTGGGTTTGACTGAAACAAGGAGATTCGTTGGCACATAAAGACACATGCTGATCCACAGACCATGGCCCCCTGTTCCTTTGCCAACTCTTATCATGGGCCGGTTTGTATGGAGTCAGACTGAAGCAGAGTTTGAGCCGTTGTGAGAAAGTGGTGTCTCTTGGCAAAACATGGGCCTCTGGGAACTCTGCCTGACCAAAACAAGGCTGTATAGCACGTTCATGCGGAGGAATCTTTGTGCTTCTGTGTGTGTGTGTTTGAATAATTATGTTTGGCGGTCTCTTAGTTATAATTTCTGTAGCTATGAATTAAAACATAAAATCAGGTTATTGTTCGACCTAAATCAGTTTCTTGCTCAACAAAACAAAGTCTACACTAGTATTCTGTATCCATGCTGTTTCGAAACCAGTCTTTCCCAGTAGAAGAGATATGTAATGTTCTCTTACCAATGTCTATGGATGCCTTGCCCCGCAGCAGCAGTTTTAAACACTCCATGTTGTCAGTCAGGCAGCAGTAGTGGAGGGCCGTGCTGCCTTTGGCTGTCTGCTTGTCCAGGTTCACACTGTGGGGGAGAAGAGACAGGGGAAGGCAGTCAGTGAGAGTTGGAAGGATAACCATAAACACAGGACAACGGTCACTCATCAGCATAATTTCAGCACTTGTTCTGAACAATATTCAAATGTAAAATAAATTTGCATTCTGTGGGACTGTGTAAAAAAAAAACAAGAGTAGTTTGTGTGATGACTGTGTTAAGTCAGTCGTCATAAGCTGTTATGACTGTTCATGACTTCTGTTGAGTCATTCTCATTACATTTATGACGGGTAGTGTTTCTACAAAAAGCTAATTGACGTTTATTTTTATTTCCCTTACCTGTTTTGAGTGAGGAAGTCAACGATATGGAGCGAGGTCCTGTCCACTAGTCTGACCGCTAGGTGAAGGGCCGTCTCTCCTTGTTCCTGCAACCACACACAGAATAACCAAAATGGCCGTGGTGAGACCTCAGGGACAAAAAGACACATCAGAGCAAAAATGGAGTGGCTGACACAGAGAAACACTGGGACTTTGATATGCTCCCTTTTGGAAGTCTGCTTTGCTATAGGCAGTAAAAGCAGTAGTAGCCCTGAATGTGAGCCAGGTGTTTGTAGTGATGATTTATCTATTATACAAAGCATTTACACTGCCAGGAGTAGTTGTTTTTCACAAATACTGCCATTTGAATTCCACTACAGCTGTGACCGTTGAGAGCACCTGGACAGATAAAATGTTGATGGCCAGTCCTGTTCCCAATCTCAAACCACTCCACCCAAGCTAAAATGAAGTCAATTGAGAGTTGGGGTTAATTCACACTACTGAGCCAAGCAGAGCCAATCCGAGCTGTACCGTGATGGTCTGGAAAGGACAATGTGGAAAAAATATCTGTACCAGCACGGTATGGTCAGTACGCTAGTGTGACAGGGGTATTGGTGGGGACATGTAGACTCACATGTCCGTTGGCCAGGGGGATGGGCTCCATCAGGTCCACTCCCTCCGCGTACACCTGGATCAGAGAGAAGATGTCCCTGGCCTTGACCGCGTCACATAGCGTGTGCAGCTTAGACGCCCCGTCTGGACACTTCCTCCTGGCGAAACGCTTCTCTGTGTACTTTGCTGTGATGAAGTCCTTACGGGCTTGCCTGTGCCAGAGGGAGGAAGGCCATATACATAAAGGGATAGTTCAGCCAGAATGTATATTTGGGTCGAATTAGCCTTACCTTGAGTTGTGTCTGAAGTCCCATGGTGACAGAATCCACAATAATCCATTATTTACTTCTGGCAACAGAATTCCAAATTCATGACTGTAAGCAGCCAAACCGATGTTAGCAAAGCTGCACTGCAAGCCGAAACTTCCTCAAAAACACTTCAAACTAAATTCGATAGTTGGTGGAGTTTGCAGGGATTTTTCTTAACGTGCATAATGCCGAAATAATTGCTGGAATTGTGTCACTCAAAACTAGAACCATTTCCTCATGTAGTCTCACAGCCGCATCCGTTTCTCAGCGGTGGCTTGATGGAACTATCAAAGCATTCATACATTTACATTTTATTGCAAAAATAACAAAATTGGACAGGTTATTCACAAGTATCGACGCTACCAAACTTAGTTTGAAGTGTTTTTGAGGAAGTTGCAGTGCAGCTTTGCTAACACTGTTCAGCTGTTTACAGTCATTAATTCTGACGACGCTAACTCCTGTTTTTACACAGGCAGCCCAATTCTAACCAATCAGATCAGCTGTTTTGCCAATAACTGGAAAAAATATCAGAATTGGGCTGCCTGTGTAAATGCAGTCTAAGTGTGCAAATACATGTTTCTGATGTATCTGTTACTTACAGCCATAAATGATCTGAGAGTTCAAACTAAAACTTTCAATTCATCTAGACGGATGCATTAGGTTTCTTATATGTGTGCTCAATTTTACTTGAGTTGTACATACACCAAGTTGTGTGTAAACAACAACAGAATGCATAGCATTCTCTTATGCTTATTGAATAAAAATGTTTTCAGTTAGTGATGCCTTACTTATAGCTCCATCCATAATGAATGGGTATGAGTGTCTCTGTGGTGACATGTTGCCAATAGGTCACTGTAAGGTCACGGGCCCATCCACTCTAAGGATGCATCTCAAATGGCACCCTATTCCCTACATAGTGTTCTAATTTTGACCAGAGCCTTATGGGGGGGTCTGGGTAAGGGGGCTACTGTATTGGGACTCTGAGAAGGTCGAGAAAGGGATAGAGACTGATGAAAGAAGGAGAGGATAGTCTATGCGTGGGAGGAAAGAGCCAAATAAAAAATATATATAGAGAGATAGAGAGAGAGCTTACATGTCACTGGCAGGGTTGGGTTTGACCACATCTTCCGCAGATAGACAAGCCTCCATGATGTCGTTAAAGCCTGCATTCCCCACGTTCTTGGCCAGCTTCATGGTAAAACACACATGCACACAAACAGGTAAGAGCTTACCAGAGCGACAGTCCATAAAAGTGCAAATGAGCCTCCTATCTGAGGGTTCTACAGTACAGTTTATACTGTATACATGAATCTCATGCTCCAGTTCTTCTGCTCTGCTACTTCAGCAAATGCTTAAATCAATGGTGTGTGTGTGTGTGTGTGTGTGTGTGTGTGTGTGTGTGCACGTGCGTGTGCATGTGCGAGGGGAAACACTGCATGCGTTCCACCCATCTCCTTGTGGCCAAATAATGTGAAACACTGTGGCGTATGTATTCCGTTGATTCTGTTGCAAAACGTTTCCGAAACATAAGCAAACGGAAATGAAGCGGGGAGGGACCTACCTGAATTTGTCCAATAGAAACTCTCGTTTTAGTTGCAAGCAGTTTGGCTAATGATTACACCCCTGGCGTCTTAAGGAGTGCAATCATCTTGAATTATCGACAAACAATGTTCAGCCCCAAATGATTTATGGGCAATAAATTGCACCAAATTGATATTAGAAAGCCAGATGAAATGTGAAATATGCAAAGTGGAAGCAGCTCCAAGCCTCTGTAATACTGCACTGTCTATCTATCCCAATGGAGCGCAGTAGAGAGTTCAGTAGAATTAGTCCAAGGGCGTTGGTATACTTGGTGCTCTCCCACCAGCAGTAAATAATCAGCTGCACTGTGAAAGGGTTTTCACAGAAGGGACTTCTGACCTTCTCGTCCAATGGGTTTTGAGAAGGAGGTGAGGAGAGAGGACGCGAGGAATCAAGGACATGCTACTGAGATTCTCCCATTATAACAGCAAGCATGGCAATGCACTGGTAGAGCCATTGTTTTCCAAGGTTTTGCTAACTAACCTAAGCGGATGTGTTTTGGTACCACTTTCTACGAGCCACCTGTGTATAAACGATTTGAACTTTCCAACACGACTGCGCCTAACCTCCCAGCGTCACAGCACCTTATCGCCATAATGTGAAACTAGCTGATGTGTGGTGAGCGTACTGGCACAAAATTGCTTCTTACCAAGAGTTCGGAGGTGCTGAGGACATCCAGTGTGAGGGACTGGATCCTAGAGTAATGGACTCCTAGCTCCCTGTGGATCCCAGAACACTCTATACACGTCAGGATGCCCAGGTTAGTGGAGAGCCAGGTAGGATCTGGGAGGAAGGGAGGGGGCGAGAGAGAGAGAGAGAGAGAGAGAGAGAGAGAGAGGATGGAGAGCGAGGAGAGGATGAGAGAGCGAGCGAGAGCGAGAGAGAGAGCGACAGAGGAGACAGAGAGCAAGAGAGGAGAGAGAAAGAAGGAGAAGATGGAGAGAGAGAGAGACAGACAAAGAGAAAGCGAGAGAGAGAGATAACAGGTAAGTAGGTACAGTGTCCTTGGTAGGAACTACCTGCATGTGCTTAGAGGGGAGAGCTATTTCTGATACAGGTTACCAGAGCGACAGTCAAACCTAAATAACTGGCTCATGGGCGTTCCTCATTCACTACAATGTCGGTGTAGAGTGACCACATGGAGTTGTTCATTACACTCATAATACATTGGTAACCGTTTCTGTGAATAACCCGTACAATTCCTTAATAAAAGTGACCTCTAGCACAATAAAGTAAAACAGTTCATGGCTCCTTCATGCATTTTGTGTATTCATAAAGGCTGTAAGATGAATTATACACAGGTAGTACTGTGCACTGAAAAGATGTGTGTGTGTGTTGTGTCAAGTGTTTGTGTATTAACATGTATGTTACGCCGGGTCACTCACTGGGCGCTCCACAGTCACAGCAGATGTCGTTGCCGGTCATCCTCTTGACCTCTCCCAGGATGGCCTTGGTCAGTTCCTGGACGATGTTGTTCTCTCCAACGTGCTGGTCCCCCTTAAAGGCATTATTCAGCGCTTCCTCCTTGCTGTTCTGCAGCACAGAGATCCATCTGAAAACACACACACACAGGGGGAGGGGAAGTTAGTGTGTGTGTGTGAGGATGGGGTGAGGGCAGGGTCAACATTGGGTTAGACTAGAGGGTGGAAAAATGGATGTGTTAACTGTGAGAAGTGGTATGGGAACAAACAGGACACACACACACACACCTTTCCCCCCACACACACAACCCAAACGAGATGGAAACGTGTGGGTTGTGTGTGGAAAGACGTATGGGGGATCAACAGGACACACTCTCACATGTTCTGTACACAAACACACACACACACACTTCACACAAGGAAGGAACACACACTTACATCTGACATTCTGGGTCGTCCTCGGCCTGAAAGTGATACGTTCTGTCATCTAAAAGAGAGGGGGGTGATAGGGGTGGGTGGGTCAGAGACATAGTGAAACAAGACATTTATCAAAGACAAGAAAATGTAAGAGCGGAAAGCTATTCAGCCCATCAAAGCACCCAGCTGACAAACCTGTGTGAGTACCCGGGCTGAAAAGGAAACAAAAAAAACATTTCCAACTACAGTACATACAGTAAAAGTCCCACATAAGTGTAACAGCATCCCAACAGTACAAAGGATGAGGCGACAACGGTTGAGATTTTAAATGACTGTATGTGGTATCTATGCAAGACAGAGGTAAAAGTCTACCAAACATCCTGTTGTACTGTACAACAAACTAAAAACCTTGTGAAAATCCTATTGTACTCTATCCTCCTCCAGTCCGATTCGATTACATTTTACTTCAGATCCCCTTACAGCTGGGAGTTCTGACCCTGACAGTCTCTCAGTCTCTCCCTCAGTCTCTCAGTCTCTCCCTCAGTCTCTCAGTCTCTCCCTCAGTCTCTCAGTCTCTCCCTCAGTCTCTCAGTCTCTCCCTCAGTCTCTTTCTCTCTCCCTCAGTCTCTTTCTCTCTCCCTCAGTCTCTTTCTCTCTCCCTCAGTCTCTTTCTCTCTCCCTCAGTCTCTTTCTCTCTCCCTCAGTCTCTTTCTCTCTCCCTCAGTCTCTTTCTCTCTCCCTCAGTCTCTTTCTCTCTCCCTCAGTCTCTTTCTCTCTCCCTCTCTCTTTCTCTCTCCCTCAGTCTCTTTCTCTCTCCCTCATCTTCTCCTGTCTCTTTCTCTCTCTTTCTCTCTCCCTCAGTCTCTTTCTCTCTCCCTCAGTCTCTTTCTCTCTCTGGAGAGCAGCATCTCTCCTTGTTTCCACCTGAGTAAGCCCTTTCATATCCTGCAGCAGTAATATTGTCCTTTGACAGCAGGGTGACGGCCTGACATGAGCACTTATTTCTGGCCCAGTGTTTATGAAAGTCACCGCTCAGCTAAACTCAACACACATCCCCAAAAACCTGACTGAAGAAAGAAGAGGGTGAACAAAGAAAGAAGAGGGTGAATGGAGGAAAAAGCTCCATCTCCCTTGGTTACATGTGATTATGTGAGGACATGGGGAACAAATGAACGTGGTTGAAATTCTAAATAGGCTACAGATTTGGAGCAGCTCGTGTGGAGGCACAAAGTATTGAGTCTTCCCTGAATTTGAATCTTACAGCGATTCATCTATTCCCAACTCCTTTCCTGCTGTCCTCATTCCACGGAAAAGCTCAGATCTCCCCTTATATTGAGACATAGACCATATCGACCACTTTTCCTTTTTCTGTGAGTCTCCTCTCCTCCCTAGTTTGTCTGCAGTAGATATCTATACTCTATAATGAGAACTATCATTTGTCCCAACACAGCATCCCTCCTTGTTCTGCAGAATCTAAAAGCCAGGCTTGATTTAATTACGGAATTTGCTTTATCAGATTTACACAAATCGGAACTGCAGTGTGCAGGCACTCTGAGAACGGAGCAATGTCCATTTGTAGAGGTACTTCTGTGAGACACAGAGGACAGAAGAGAGAGACGAGAATAGACAGGAGAGGACAGAAGAGAGAGAAGAGAAGAGAAGAGAATAGAAGAGAAGGGAAGGGAAGGAGAAGGAATAAAAGGCAGGGTAAACCTACGTGAAATGAGGTCAAAGCTCTTCTTCTCTTCTGGGTTGTGTTTCACCTGACAGGTGAGAAGGTTGAGTTTGGCCGGCGGTCGGTTCGCCTGAACGAGAGAGAGGGGGGAGGACAGGAAAGAAGAACATGTGAATCAGCGAACACAAAGCATGAACGAAAATGCACCCTTCCCACCAGAACAAAGATACAGTGCACCCTCCTCTTATAGTCATCACATCTGTACATTTGATCACTAATGGCGTCCGCATGCTTCCCACCAGAAACAGTTCGGAAAAGTTTGTGCATATATTATGACGACATTTTGTTTGGGACTTCGGTAAGGGTTTTTGCGGCTGTTCGGGCACACAACATTTTTGCTCGAGGCAAGCCGAAGTCTACGCCCCTTCGTCGGTGATTGGTCAACAGTAAGGATTCAATAGTCTTTGTTGTCATTCAACGAGAGAGGACTCGTTTTCATGCACATGTTTTCATTGAGAAATACTGCACCAAACATCTTAGTTAGATGTAAAATTGTGCAACTAAGATCTCCTCGGCAAATTAATGACAGATGTCTTGAGTTATCTTAGATTCATTCTGACTATTTTGAGGAAGTGTATACTGGCTACGGCGTCTCAAAATAGACAAACAGTACTACTACTCGTTTTTCAAGCGAAGGTCTTTTAAAGGAATATGCGAGCACACTCGTTTGGTTCACCTAGCCGAGTTCAGGTAGGCACCAGCCGAACTGAAGCATGCTGACGCCTTAAGTGGTTGATCACAATAACCATATTCACCAGAAGGGGTATGCACTGTACCTGGATGAAAGCATTACATTTAGCCTACATGCACTCAAAATATATGTAAAACATTATCTATCAATGAAAACACATTATGCTTGCTATAAAACATTATGTACATTACAACAATTTTATACAGTCCTGGACTGCAGAGCTACTTGAGAATCAACACAGCATAGAATAACCCACTGCAAAATTCACCTTCCCTTCTCCCTTAGTTAATACAACATAACATGACACTAATAGCCAGGCTCTCATATGCAGTTTTCATAAGTAATATTTCCCCCCGGTGTTAAGGTCTGTCAGAATGGGCCTGTCCATGGAGGATTAGCTTCTGTACTGTGCTGTTCGGTCTGCAGTGGAGGATGAAACCAGGCCATGGTTGGAGCTCAGCTCAGGGTGCTTAAAAACCAGCTCTGATTGCTTTCCCTGTTTCGACCTCTACACACAGCTGGTTGGCCAGGGAGAGAGGGAGAGCGCATATGTGAGGTATATTCTTTTTTTTAATTAGAGAGAAAGGGCAAGGAGAGAGATGGGGAGAAAGTGTGGTGTGTTTGTGTATGTGTGTGTGCCTTTTCAAAGAGAGAGAGAGAGAGAGAGAGAGAGAGAGAGAGAGAGAGAGAGAGAGAGAGAGAGAGAGAGAGCAAGACAGAGAGGGGGATAGAGTGAGGGTGCGATAAAGTGAGCAAGAGAAGGAGAGAGGAAGAGAGAGAGATTACATCTAGTGTAATGGAGGGAAGTAGAGCCTGCTACAGTGAGAGCAGAGCAGAGTGGGAAATCAATAGGCTGGTGAGACCCCGGGAAAGCGGTGCACGTAAAGTAGCTCTGTGAGCTAGCCTGACAAGGGCTGCATCCCAAATGGCTTTTGACTAGAGCCCTATGGGTGCCATTTGGGATGCAGCCAAGTATATAATACTCTGATGTGTAAGAGTGACTGACAATAATACTAACACCACCACCATTTTAGCTAAATGAATCCAAAGTGCTCTATTTTGGACTTTAAAAAATTGAATTAAATTAAAATCACAAAAAACAGTACACCAGGCACCAAATATAATCTAGTGTCCTCTTGATACCCACTCCTGTCCCGTAGCTCTACCACCTCTGAACCCTCCCCATGTACAGTCGTGATACGTTTTGAGAATGACACAAATACTAATTTTCACAAAGTCTGCTGCCTCAGTTTTGATGATGGCAATTTGCATATACTCCAGAATGTCATGAAGAGTGATCAGATGAATTGCAAAGTCCCTCTTTGCCATGAAAATGAACTTAATCCCCAAAAAACATTTCCACTGCATTTCAGCCCTGCCACAAAAGGACCAGCTGCCATCATGTCAGTGATTCTCGCGTTAACAAAGGTGAGAGTGTTGACGAGGACAAGGCTGGAGATCACTCTGTCATGCTGATTGAGTTAGAATAACAGACTGGAAGCTTTAAAAGGAGGGTGGTGCTTGAAATCATTATTATTTTTCTGTTAACCATGGTAACCTGCAAGGAAACACGTGCCGTCATCATTGCTTTGCACAAAAAGGGCTTCACAGGCAAGGATATTGCTGCTAATAAGATTGCACCTAAATCAACCATTTATCGGATCATCAAGAACTTCAAGGAGAGAGGTTCAATTGTTGTGAAGAAGGCGCCAGGGCGCCCAAGAAGTCCAGCAAGCGCCAGGACCGTCTCCTAAAGTTGATTCTGCTACAGGATCGGGGCACCACCATTGCAGAGCTTGCTCAGGAATGGCAGCAGGCAGGTGTGCGTGCATCTGCACGCACATTGAGGCGAAGACTTTTGGAGGATGGCCTGGTGTCAAGAAGGGCAGCAAAGAAGCCACTTCTCTCCAGGAAAAACATCAGGGACAGACTGATATTCTGCAAAAGGTACAGGGATTGGACTGCTGATGACTGGGGTAAAGTCATTTTCTCTTATGAATCCCCTTTCCGATTGTTTGGGGAAAACACCTTGTCCAGAGAAGACAAGGTGAGCGCTACCATCAGTCCTGTGTCATGCCAACAGTAAAGCATCCTGAGACCATTCATGTGTGGGGTTGCTTCTCAGCCAAGGGAGTGGGCTCACTCACATTTTTGCCTAAGAACACAGCCATGAATAAAGAATGGTACCAACACATCTTCCGAGAGCAACTTCTCCCAACCATCCAAGAACAGTTTGGTGACGACCAATGCCTTTTCCAGCATGATGGAGCACCTTGCCATAAGGCAAAAGTGATAACTAAGTGGCTCGGGGAACAAAACATCGAAATGTTGGGTCCATGGCCAGGAAACTCCCCAGACCTTAATCCCATTGAGAACTTGTGGTCGATCCTCAAGAGGCGGGTGGACAAACAAACACCCACATATTCTGACAAACTCCAAGCATTGATTATGCAAGAATGGGCTGCCATCAGTCAGGATGTGGCCCAGAAGTTAATTGACAGCATGCCAGGGTGGATTGCAGAGGTCTTGAAAAATAAGGGTCAACACTGCAAATATTGACTCTTTGCATAAACTTAATTTAATTGTCAATAAAAGCCTTTGACACTTATGGAATGCTTGTACTTATACTTCAGTATACCATAGTAACATCTGACAAAAATATCTCAAAACACTGAAGCAGCGTACTTTGTGAAGACCAATACTTATCATTCTCAAAACTTTTGACCACGACTGTACAGTTGAAGTCAGAAGTTCACATACACCTTAGCCAAATACATTTAAACTCAGTTTCACAATTCCTGACATTTAATCCTAGTAAAAATTCCCTGTCTTAGGTCAATTAGGATCACCACTTTATTTTAAGAATGTGAAATGTCAGAATAATAGTAGAGAGAATGATTTATTTCAGCTTTTATTTATTTCATCACATTCCCAGTGGGTTAGAAGATTACATACACTCAATTAGTATTTGGTAGCATTGCCTTTAAATTGTTTAACTTGGGTCAAACATTTCGGGTAGCCTTCCACAAGCTTCCCACAATAAGTTGTGTGAATTTTGGCCCATTCCTCCTGACAGATCTGGTGTAACTGAGTCAGGTATGTAGGCCTCCTTGCTCGCACACACTTTTTCAGTTCTGCTCTCAAATGTTCTATAGGATTGAGATGAGGGCTTTGTGATGGCCACTCCAGCATCTTGACTTTGTTGTCCTTAAGGCATTTTGCAACAACTTTGGAAGTATGCTCGTGGTCATTGTCCATTTGGAAGACCCATTTGCGACCAAGCTTTAACTTCCTGACTGATGTCTTGAGATGTTGCTTCAATATATCCACATAATTTTCCTTCCTCATGATGCCATCTATTTTGTGAAGTGCACCAGTCCCTCCTGCAGCAAAGCACCCCCACAGCATGATGCTGCCACCCCCGTGCTTCACGGTTGGGATGGTGTTCTTCGGCTTGCAAGCTACCCCCTTTTTCCTCCAAACATAACGATGGACATTACGGCCAAACAGTTCTATTTTTGCTTCATCAGACCAGAGGACATTTCTCCAAAAAGTACAATCATTGTCCCCATGTGCAGTTGCAAACCGTGGTTCTGGCTTTTTATGGCGGTTTTGGAGCAGTGGCTTCTTCCTTGCTGAGCGGCCTTTCAGGTTATGTCGATATAGGACTCGTTTTACTGTGGATATAGATTATTTTGTACCCGTTTCCTCCAGCATCTTCACAAGGTCCTTTGCTGTTGTTCTGGGATTGATTTGCACTTTTCGCACCAAAGTACGTTAATCTCTAGGAGACAGAACGCGTCTCCTTCCTGAGTGGTATGACGGCTGCGTGGTCCCATGGTGTTTATACTTGCATACTATTGTTTGTACAGATGAACGTGGTACCTTCAGGCGTTTGGAAATTGCTCCCAAGGATGAACCAGACTTGTGGAGGTCTACCATTTCTTTTCTGAGGTCTTGGCTGATTTCTTTTGATTTTCCCATGATGTCAAGCAAAGAGGCACTGAGTTTGAAGGTAGGCCTTGAAATACATCCACAGGTACACCTCCAATTGCCTCAAATGATGTCAATTAGCCTATCGAAGCCATGACATCATTTTCTGGAATTTTCCAAGCTGTTTAAAAGGCACAGTCATCTTAGTGTATGTAAACTTCTGACCCACTGGAATTGTGATACAGTGCATTATAAGTGTAATAATCTGTCTGTAAACAATTGTTGGAAAAATTACTTGTGTCTTGCACAAAGTAGATGTCCTAACCAACTTGCCAAAACTATAGTTTGTTACCAAGACATTTGTGGAGTGGTTGAAAAACAAGTTTTAATGACTCCAACCTATGTGTATGTAAACTTTCGACTTCAACTGTACATATAACTGTTTATTATAGTGAAGAAGGTAAACTACAACCAAAAAGTAAGAAAGAGCAGAAAAGTAGGGTAATAATAAATAAAAAGAGAAATAAAAAAATATGAATAAAAAGAAAATAAAGAGAAGTCAAAACAAAACAAGAGATGACCAGACTGGATAAGACAGGACAGGACAAGACTGGACCAGACAAGACAAAACTAGTGGATAAGCTGCCAGTTAGCAGAGAGCTGATAATTAGGTCGCACATGCCATATTTGATCTTGTCTGGGGTTGCCTGGGAGCAATGTAGGATAGGAATGGTTCCCAGGTGGATCTCTCCCTGGAGGCCAGGTCACAGTAAACTAAGCCAATGGATGGTTGAAACATTTAATCTGCTTTTCCAGTTAACAGTATAACTTTTTTTGCAGATTGTTAATGAAATCAATAGGAACAGTTTTTTTGTCCTTGGAGATAAAAGAAACATGGCTGAGAAGTTTGATAAACAGTGATAAAGTCTGGTTTGACAGAAGTAGTGAGATAGTGATTGGCTTCATCTCCATTAAGTGAAGTGGGTGAAGTGTAAGCTAACAGGCTAGAGCCACTAGCCTTACTGTAGATTAATGCTAACTGGCTAGGAGTAGGTCATCTTGCCCTCTGTGTGCGTGTATATATGTGTGTGTGTGTGTGTGTGTGTGTGTGTGTGTGTGTGTGTGTGTGTGTATGTGTGTACTCACCGTCCCATGTGATATGGTGAGGTATCCGTTCTTCACTGAACACTTTCTCTTCTGCCACACTTTCCTTAGCCTGGGGGGGGGTGACACACGACATCGTGACACACACACTTAGACATAACACCCCAGCGCCAGTGTGACACACTAAACTCTACATTAATCCACATTGTAACTGAACAGACATGGATAATGAATTATTAACATCAACCACACCAGTGTGATGGCTCATTAATATGTGCATGCATAAGTAATGATGTACAGTTTGGGCAGTGTATTCATGTCTATGACACTCAGCCATAAAAAGAACATTAAAGAGATTATCTGGTACTTTTGTTTACTTTTTAGCCAGTAGTTATGAAAGTAGCGCTCACGAGCCAAAAGTGGTCCCCGAAAATTGCGTACTACGACACGTATGTGCAGATATGTGCACCACGTCATTGCCCCTCTCTCTCGCTCTGCTGTATGTGCATCTTGATAACTGTCACTCAAATGGCAAGGGGCTGAAGCTCATTGGCTAGAACTCGAATTGCTAGGGGACTGGCCCACGTGGGGGAAAATGTAGGGAAAATGGCGCTGCACAGCTTCCAGAAATACTTATTTCCCTCATTAAAATGCAAATCAATTTCTAACATTTTTGACATGCGTTTTTCTGGATTTTTTTGTTGTTATTCTGTCTCTCACTGTTCAAATAAACCTACCATTAAAATTATGATCATTTCTTTGTCAGTGGGCAAACGTACAAAATCAGCAGGGGATCAAATACTTTTTTCCCTCACTGTATGAACTACACTATGACACATCCAGCCCAAAGCAGAAGGTTGAAAAATTACTTAGTAGTCGCCAAAGTTCCAGAGAATGTCTTTAACTATGGATAAATGCCATCACAATGAGTGAACTTTGTGAGTTTGTTTTGTCTGGCCTTTCATTTGGTTCTTTGAATGTTTGTTGAAGATGATGCAAGTTTAACGGAAGAGAGAAACTGACCCGTCACTCTTCTTGTAGAGGTTCCCACAGCGCTCAGTACCGTGCTCCTTGTTGCCCTGTGGCTGGTGCAAACTGTAGGTAGCGCTCTGTCGCACCTGGGAATCCTTCAACAATACCAGCACACACACAAACAAACATAAGGATCTATGTAGGCAAAGGCACAAGACACTGCAGTGAGTGTGGGTGGGGTGCATCTCAATTGTCTAAAGTGGCTTCCTCTCCTTGTATCTTTTCATTTGTCAACACTGATCTGAAAAATCCAGGCTAAAATTTAGGATAGGAGAGCAATATGGCAGATCGGGATGCTGGCTGGGGATTTGCTTTAGTGCAGATGAAGTAGAGATGGCAAGGAAGGGGAGCCTCTTTAGACTATTGAGATGCTGCCACAATATGTATATAGGACAAGCAAAGCCTTGGGGTCATGCACTAGTGAGGTCATCTCCTCAGAGGAAGTGGTATAGGGGAAACCGAGAGGGGGAGGGGCCAAAGCAAAGACCTTTGGAAGATATTCTAAAGAAAAGTCTTCAGGGTTCTAGTATCTAGTGTTACCATTGTCAACAGGAAAAAAAGACAGGGTTGTATTCATTAAGTCACAATGTAGCACAATTTAAACGAAAAACAAGTATTTCAGAAGTACAGATAGTACCACTGCGCTTCACTCTGTTCGGAGTGCTTTCTTCCATTTGGTGCCTAATGAATACAACCCAGAAATCCCCCCACTAAATCACTTTTAGAGGCCGCCACTAATGCTCTCTATTGAAAATGCTTCAGACAAACTTCTCACTATCCTTGACAAAACACCACAACCACAGATCGACAAGCACATTAAGGGGGCACTGAGGATACACTTACTCTCCTAGACTTGGTTCACAAAGAGGCAGTAAAGTAAAGAGGAGAACAGACAGGTAAGATAGTGCTGCAGTAGAAAAAACTGTACACTAGTTCTCCACATAGTAGCTGAAGGCTGAAAGGACATAAGTACATGTGTTAACTGTAAGTCGCTTTGGATAAAAGCATCTGGTAAATGAGAGTATTAAGCACATAAGAGTGCTTAACCGTAGACCATTAATGCGTGCTCTCAATGAGCTTGCTAAAGTTGACAGGGAGTGAAGAGGGCTTTGGTTATGTACATCGGGATTTTGAACATGTAAGTGCATCACTTATAGGATATGAATTAGGCGGATTAGATGAGATACAGACGGCTATATTATTGGATGTCTAACTTGGGCTTTTGACAGTGAAAAGACTAGGCCTATAGAGTTTGAGGGTTGTCGTGTGTGTGTGTTGTATACAGCAGTATGCATGAATGAGTGTGAGTGTGTGTGTGTGTGTGTGTGTGTGTGTGTGTGAGATCTGGATGGAATTATGTGATTCTTCCTTAACCCATAAGAAGTCCCACCCAGTTGACTACTTAAAAATGGGAGGATCTCATTTGGTTTTGCTCAACTCCTGTGTCCTTTCTCCTACCTCCTCTCTCGCTTCCTTTTAAAAAAGGTCAAAGGTAATTGCAGAGAGACGGCGAGGAGGGGGAACATGGACGAAAATGTGCTTGTATGAAATGACTCTCCAATGACGTTTACAGGGGTGGAATCCCAAATTAAATGTGTAAAGTAAAAACGAATTGAATAGATAAAATAATAAGTAGCATATGGTTTTTAAATGTTTGCATGCTTTTCCCCTTCCAGAAAACAACAGCTGATCCAAAGGGGTGTGGCAGGTATTAAAAAACTTCAGCGCTTGCTGCCAAAGTAGTTAAATCGATTGAGGGTAGCAGACTCCTTCATTCGTCTACAAACAAAATTGACACTCTCCTCGGCCACTTATCGGTTTCTGAGTCACGGAGGAGAGAGGACGGAGGAGTCGAGGAGAGGACGGACTTTTGCCCCAATGAGAATCTCCTAATGATGAAAGTCCACAATGGCGCTGCCCATGCTAAAACATACTTTGGGGCACTAGAGTGGTCGAAGTCTATGGGTGTTACCTCCTTCTGCTCCACCTGCAGCGCTGACTTGAGGACGTCCCGTAGCTGAGTGAGCTGCTTCCTCTCCTCGTCCTGGGCCTGCTTTATCTGGAGAGCTCACAGAAAGGTCATACACAGGTCATACAAAGGCCACAGGGGTCATACAAAGGTTACAGAGTCACACAGAATACGTTTGATGAATTCAGCATACTTGATAATGGAAAGGCAAGTCCTTACATACCCCCATGAAGATGTCAACAGTAGTCTTGAGGAACTCACCGTGTGTAAGTCTGTGGCTAGTTTCTCTATGGATGGTTTGAGGTTGTCTACTGCTTTCAGCCCATCCTGAAAGAAACTAAAGAGAGAGTGACAAATCTACATCAGCTGTTTTCCCCACGAGGTGAGCACTTGGTCAAATGCACACTTTCACTGACTGCAGGACTTACTTGCACTGTGCGTGGAAATATTTGATGAGATTCTGGAGTAGGTCCACCCCTTTCTTGATCTTGATCTCGTTCACTTTGAGAAGATACTGCGAGACAGAATTTCACAATGTCAGCAAACCCTCCACTCCAGCTCTGGACTTGACCCAACCTGGCAACCCAGGCCTGAGCTCTATCACTTTCCTTACCCACCTCACACATCTGCAGCTGGAAGAACCTCCTCTCCTTCTCCATCTCCTCTGCGATCTCCGCCCCGCTGATCTCAGTGCGGATCATGCCGTGCTGCCGCGCATGCTCTTTCTTCTCCTTCTCAATCTTAGTGCTGGGACAGGAAGTGACATCATCGGGGGGTCAAAGGGCATTTCCAACCACAGACACACACACACCCATACCAAACAGGAAATATACAGAGTGGAAGGGGGAGGGCATTCCATGCAACAGGGCATTATTTTGCATATGCTAACTAGCTTAGCATATTCCCTTAAAAAAGGATGCAGCATTTGGCTCCTCCTATGAGGAAGCAAAGGGAGACTTAAGTGACACCTGTTCTCGTTCAGATTTGAGAGCAGACGGCCTCTCACTCATGCTTTTGGATGTTAGGTCCTCGTCACTGTGGCCCATCACTAAACCAACGTAAACGACTTGTCTGTTTTTTGCACCTCAGTCAACAGCTTGGCTCATTTGAAACCATCAAGACACAGATGCAACAAGGCCATTCCAAAGGAAACTGAACCAAGAAAAAAACTACAAACGGATCATACCAAAAAAGACAGACAGAGGGGGGCATCAAGCTGATGTCAAAGTGGTGTGATTGCATGAGCCAGCGCTGCACTGTGGCCTGCTCCTGCAAGTCTACATAACATTATATAATCTACTGCTGTTCAAAAAAACCTTAACCTTTGATTCAAAGACACTTAAAGAAGTCAGTTCCTGCCACTGCTTCACAAACATTCATCTGTCTCAGGCAAAGTAATCTGGGTTATATTCAGTCATTTTGGGTGGCTTCCTTTTTTGGTCTGAAACCGTCATCTGGTAAGACATCAAGATGCGACTGCTTCATTAGTAGAACATCTGCAAAGCTGTCACCTTAATCATCAGCCCAGAAGCATGGGAGTAGAGAGAAAGCTAAAAATAGCCAGATGTTGCACAGCAGCCACAAGAGCCACCAAAGACCGTTGACACAGAGATGAGACAGTAAATCAAATGGGACTCTAACTGTAGTGACGATGGCAGGGTGCTGCTCGCAAACCAATTTAAGGTGGTCGGGGCCAGAGTGGACTTTGTGGCAGAGAGTCTCATCTCTTTCGGTCTGCAAATAGGAAAGGCCTCATTATAATCGCAGATTAAGAGATTAGAGATATTATAGAGATATGAGAACCAATCCGATTGTGATCGGCAAAGTTCAAAGAACATCAGAGCAGATGGGACAACGATGTTCTCGATCAAGCATAGTACTGCCCTCCATTGATAGCAGACTAGCAGAGAGCGGGTGGCATCAATGGAGCAACAAGTCAGTACTGTCTCGTCATCAGATTGGCGTTGCAGAAGAAAATGTATTACCCTTTCAGTAAAGAATGTCCTTTGCAGCTTGGAAAATATATCAGAGTGGTGCTATAAAATGTCATATACCGTTGCATGCAAAATCACAAATGATGTCAGTGTGGATAGAGGGGTGTAGAGATGGGATGATTTATTATTGGTTGGGAAATAGTGGTCATTACAAGCACAGAGATGGGACAAGACAAATATCACATTGCATCTCATTCAACATATTGCTTATGCATTTGATGATCAAATCGGGCTCTACCAATGACAAATATACGGTCAAATGCAAACTATTATGATAGTACCAATATCTAGAGGTTATCAAAATGCTTGAGAATCAGTTGAACCGACTGCTACAGTATGGCCATAGTATGAACCAACGGACCAAAAGACAATGGAATGATCATCTGATTGTCTTCGTACTCTAAGCTAATAATGTCAATGGGCCAGAACCTAATTTCATATTGGTGGTAGTAAAATATAAAAAAAAACTTACACTTTGGTTTCATAGTCTTTCCAGGACTTATCAAATGGCTTTTTCAGGTCCTGTGAAGAAAAAAAGCAGAAAGAAACAGGTGTCAGAACTTCAAATTCAGAAACAGAATGTGGAATAATGATGAGTTAGATCTACATAGGAATCCATTAAGCAAACCTATCAACATAACAACTTGGATTTGTTCACAAAAGCTCCACACACAAAAACCTTTTGGCTATATGTTCTCCCTAGTGGCGCAGTGGTCTAAGGCACTGCATCGCAGTGCTAGCTGTGCCACTAGAGATCCTGGTTCGAATACAGGCTCTGTCGTAGCCGGCCGCGACCGGGAGACCCATGGGGCGGCGCACAATTGGCCCAGCGTCGTCCAGGGTAGGGGAGGGAATGGCCGTCAGGGATGTAGCTCAGTTGGTAGAGCATGGCGTTTGCAACGCCAGGGTTGTGGGTTCAATTCCCACGGGGGGGTATAAAAAATAATGTATGCACTAACTGTAAGTCGCTCTGGATAAGAGCGTCTGCTAAATTACTAAAATGTAAATGTAAATGTCAACTGTAATGTTGAGTAAAAATATGGAGTAATATTAGTGCCAAAATTCAGTTTCTGTTGGCACTAACATCACTCCTTAAAGAGGCTAGAAAGATATCAACATGGTCAAAACACACATTGTGATATGAAGCATACCACTGCACACACAGACAGCGTTACTATAACCAGAAGGCACTGAAGCTACGGTACACATCAATACTCCAGTCAGGCGATGTTACAAGCTCAGGGAAAACCCTGTCAATCTCCCTGCACTAGCCAAATGTTAACAAAGCACACTGCCAATACATGACTCAATCTTGTCATCATTTTCCCTCTTCATTGCCGTAAACTACAATACAGTACAAAGTGCTAACATAAAAAAAGAGCAGTGCTCAGAATCGTAACATGGTTTAAGTGGCCACACCGCTGAACAGATTTCCCATGGTAATAGAGTAGCGTTCAACAGCTGTTTGATCAAACATTAAATTATGCAACACTTTTCCAGCACCGCACCAATGAATAAACAGTGATTAGGGGCTAACAAAAACAGACATCAACTGGTGAAATTGCCCGTGTCATTTTTCCTCCAAACACCGCAGCGGCAACCATAAATGCTGCTTCCAAGGCCATTGAACAGACAGTGGTAAAACATGATGAGATCAATGGATTATCTGATTGCACTGCGAATCTGCTTGTTATTTTCATGTTGATTTGCTGATTGCATCCCAATCAACAATTGTGGAGAGCACGGATTGCTACAGCATCATGGTTTTTGAAATGGCATTGCTCTTTCCTTCGGAAACCTTGAACTGTAACAGTGTTTTTCCTAACAAAAAAATGATTGCAGTGGCAGCCGCAGGCATTTTTAAAGAGTCATTAACTGGAATGAAAAATAAAGGTAGTATAAAAGGTGATGCATCCTCTAACAAAAGCCAATCTTTCTAAAGCTTTGTTACAATTAATGTACTATGGCTTTATTACAATAAATATGTTGCTATTTTGCTGTCATTATATGAAACAGATTGCCTGAAATCCCATTCTCAGTGTCTTACAGAGATGTTCCCTCTGTTGACCCCTGGGCCCGTATCCACAAAGCGACTCAGAGTCGGAGAGCTTGGCTCAGGTCCCAACATTTCCATATAAAATTAATTAATATCTAAAATGCAAAACTGATCCTAGATCAGCACTCTTCCTCTGGGACGCTTTGTGGATACCAGCCCAGACTCTTCAAAACAAGTGTGGCGGTCATGGATCCATGGTCATTGGATCATGGTCTGATGAAAGAGAGAAAGAGAAAGAAAGAGAAAGAGAACGAGAGAGAGAGAGAGAAACACAGAGAGACACAGAGCGCGTGAGAGAAAGAGAAATAGAGGAAGCAAAAAAAAAAAAAAAAAAAAAAAGGAGAACACTGGCTAAAAATACAAGCCGCGGGAGCGAGACGAGTTGGACAGAGCGGCACATTCTCCAAGTGCAGCCATTCCTCTCTCATTCAGCTCGATGGGAAGTGAAGTTAGGCGCTAGCTACTGTGAGAGTGGGGAACAACAGTAGGGAGTGAAGTGGGGCACTAGCTAGCCTAGCGTGTCTGTGTGAGTACCTACTAGCTTCCACACAACAGGGAACATGGCAGGGCAACTTAGCTGTGTGGAATGCTGGAAGAGCACAGCCAAACAGGGTTCACCTCCCATCCACTCTACCACATCAACACGCAACCTCTCTTTAATGAGTTTCCACAGAATAGATATTTGGGAGACAGAGGCTTTAAAACAAAACATAACACTCTTCTGTAAAGTTCTTGTCCTGCAACAGCCTTTTTCTTGGTCGAGTTTCTTGGTTCAACTCTTACCTCCGTTACCACTGTCCTTGTCTAATTGAACACAGCTGACTGACCTTGAATGCGTCAATGTGAAGTGTACAGCAACAAGACCAGGTTTAGGACTACATTGGAATGTAAATTGCTCTTGAATGGAATGGGTCCACTGTTGAGGTGATACAGTAGTGGAAGGTCCACATGCCTGTCCAGTGAGTTGGAATGGGACCTATTCAGACTGCTACGCAGACAAAGCCTTTTCACCAAGACCTCAAATCTAAACATGCAATTTCCATTCCAATGTAGTCCTAAACCTGGTCTTGTTGCTGTCAAGGGCACCTGTTAAAAATCCACAACTTATGATCAGCCTCCACTCCCTAATCTTTTCTTGGTGATAAATAATGGTGAGATCACTCCTTTGGCAGAGCTCCTTATAGCTAAAAGCCTCCGCCAACAATTCTGTGTGTGTGGGTTTCATGACTGGGGGGGGGGGGGGGGGGTATGGGGGGGTTATGGTGTGTAAAAAAAACAAAAAAACACAATAGATACAAAGGATCAGAAGGTCTAGCGCTGGAAGGGATGACATCATCCCAGTGTCCAGTCCAATCCGTAAATCCCCTTGCCCTGCTGTTTGGTGGTCTCAGCACTTTCCACCAGTCTGCTTATGTTCAGTGTTTGGAGTGGGATGGTGGGTTAGGGGGTGGACACTGGACAGAGCTTAAGGGCCAATGCAGCAACAATAACACACACGTATGAGGGCCTGAGCCAGCACTGAACTGCAGACAGACAGGGAGTGATGATGCTGTATCTTGGCTGGTTGTGCCCTATTCCAGTTTGGACTACGGATATTACAGGTAAATGCCAAAATAAAGGAAACACTTTATTTTGGCATTTGAGGAATACAAAATACACAACATGGCCAAAAGTATGTGGATTAGTGGATTTGGCTA